TCGAGCACTCTGACCGGCCTTCAAGGTTATCCTATAAGTGGAGTGTATAGTGATTGTCGCAACATTGTCTCTTTGTCTGTCTCTCTGTTTCTCTCCCCCCCCCCCTCTCTCTCTCTCTCTCTCTCTCTCTCTCTCTCTCTCTCTCTCTCTCTCTCTCTCTCTCTCTCTCTCTCTCTCTCTCGCTCCCCCCCCCCTTACACACACACACACACTCCCCCCCCCCCCACTCTCTCTCTCTCTCTCTCTCTCTCTCTCCCCCCACACACACACACACTGTCTGTCTGTCTGTCTGTCTCTGTCCGTATGTATGTCTGTCTGTCCGCCTGTCTGTCTGTCTGTCTGTCTGTCTCTGTCCGTATGTATGTCTGTCTGTCTGTCTGTCTGTCTGTCTGTCTGTCTGTCTGTCTGTCTGTCTCTCTCTCTCTCTCTCATCTGTATTATACATGTACATGCCCATGCTCCATGTAAATAAATCCGTCCAGGCCGAACACAAGTCAACAATAACTACAAGTACTTTGATGCACTGTTTACAAGCGCAAAAAGGTATCACACACAGCCATGTGCACGAGCATAACCCAGCAATTCACACACGTGTTGATGTCAGCCATTGTTCAGTGTGTCCACCGGAGGTATGGCTACCCAAAATGTACACACACACACATACAAGCTCACACGCATACACACATACAGCAGCAAAGCCTTTAGGTTTCATTCCACCATCTCCGGCATCTCTATGAGCTCTTGCTAAGGCCACACACACACACTTACTGCGACATCTAGCGCAACACATGCCGGCTCTGAGTAGCTGTTGAGGAACAGTGTGGTGAAACGCATGGTACTGCTGATGCGCACAATCCTATCAACGAAAAAACAGACAGACAGAGACAGAGAAAAAGAGAGTGTGTTGGGGGAGGGGTAAGGCTTACATCTCAATGAATAACCAAGGCAGCCTCGATCCCGCAAGCAGTGAGGTAGATGGTTGCACTGTCAATTAATGCCATTCCAGCCAATGCCACTAAAGCGGTCATTTCCAAGTACCCATCCTCTTGCCTTTTTCCAACAGCTACCTAAAACCTCACTCCTGAGACCTGGCACAATGGCAAGCCTCAGCCGTAGCTCCAGATCTTCCCTTTCTCATTCCTACACTAGCAATGCAGGGCATCATTCCTACACTAGCAATGCAGGGCATCATTCCTACACTAGCAATGCAGGGCATCATTCCTACACTAGCAATGCAGGGCCGGTGCCACTGGTGCGGCCAGTACGGCCATGGCCATACCAATTTCCCAAAAAGCCGGTCCACGTGGAACGTCCAAAACCGGGGAGGAAAACTTTCGATGTATGATTTTGAACAGGGAGTCGTAAAAACCGGACTACCCTGTCATCAGAAACATTCTAGGTACAGTGAACTATCATAGAGACACAGTCTGAAACTGGTGTATTCTGCATTGGAACATCAGACTTGCAAGTTGTACCCAGGCTAGGAGATGCACCGAAATGTGCCCAGAGTGCAGGATTTGCCTTCTAAATTCCTACCCCCCCCCCCCCTTCAACAGGGCATTCGGCCGCACCGCTCTGTGAGAGCTGCCTCCAGCCCTGCAATAGCATCAGAACTTCCCACACAACCGACCAGACATGTAACTCTTCCCGTTGAAAGTCTTTGGCAGAGCATCACAACACTTCAACCTCCCCCCCCCCCCCCCCAGCACACGGAAGCCGACACGATTGCCATCATTCGCCTTTTCAACAGTGCTCCAAAACCATAGAGGAAAGTAAAGTGACAGAACTCGATATACACATACCTGTCGAAAGTCGTCGAGGTGAACGTCTCCTCGATCCACTTCGTGTTGTTGGCTTGTGATGCATTTGAAAGCGCTGAACAATCTGTAAACGAAAAGCACGCAGATGGGCTGAGTGAGCAAGGAACTCAAAGCTGGGATGAACCATTTCTGGTCAGAGCCAGATGTCAACTAAACTAAATATAGACCAAACTCAGTGGCGTAGGACACGGTACGGTCACTACGGTATTGACCGTACCACTTTTTGCCCCTGGTACCCCGTGAATCAATAAAATACACTGATCTGGGATCTAAATTTCCAAAATTTTCGCCTCAGCCAACCTTCCCCCAACGAGTAAATTGTACTTCAGATGGCTGACGTACCACACTTAAATACCTTCCAACGCCCCTGACACTGCACAGACATGGGCGCGTATGCAGAAAAGCCAGAAACCATACACAGTGCCGAAAGAATCTCTCTAGGCTTAGATGCATCAACTGCCCCAAATACGTAACACTACCAAAGGATTGGGAGAACGTCAAATTCCCTTCTCGACTGTTCCTTTGAAATTACGAAAGGTCCAAAGGTTTACATGTCCTAGTAATCCGTAGATTGTCCAACACTAACAATTATAAGCAAGATACATGTACTGGAGTCTGAACGTGCAACAGTTATCACAATAATGACTGGTGTGGTACTCAGTTTCCTCTGAGACAAAAATGCGATAATACTCATAAAAAGGACACACTTCAGGCTCATTACAAACATCTTGAAAGTTTTCGTCTTCACAAGTATACTTTCAAGCCTTCTCATCAGGTGAAATACAGGCAAGGGAAAAGGAACAGGAACAGTGGATTAAATACAGTAAGAAGGTGGTAAAACAGCGCAAAAAGAAAGAAAGAAAGAAAGAAGATAGCTAAAGTAAACAGCGAAAATTGCAATAATGACACAAAGGTGCAAATGCGAGTGGTACTGATAAAATTTAATAAAAGTGATAATCAATGACCTGAAACACGTTCTGACTCTCAAGTATCTTGCTTATAATTGCTAGTGTTGGACAAACTACGAATTACCAAAGGTACTGACGAAAAGCTACAGCGGCAGCAGCAGCAGTGGCGGCGGCAGCAGCACCAAGAATAAGAACAAGCTGAGCTAGGAAAGTAATTAGTTACTGGCATACCATAGACAGTGTCCCTATCCCAGATGTAGGACTGGTTGAAAGCGAACACGCGGCCTTGCTTGTAATAGGTGACACACACTTCAAGGGGTGGCACACTGCCATTCCTCCATGCATAGTCGTATGCACCAATGAACCTATGTTGAATGTGGTAGTACTGCAATTCACACACACAACACAGTACAATGTGGCGAAGATGATGACAACGATAAAGACACCACAAAATTAGTCAACTTCCTAAAGCAGCACATGACCTTCCTTATTTTTACATTAACTTTACTATTGGCACAGTGGGTTTTCATTTGTATTGGACTCGTTCTCTACACTTGCGATAATTTAGCGGCAATTCTAACGTTGTAGCGTTGTTCTCTTGTAATTTAGTGGAACCTGTAGTGAGTAACTGAGTTTTATGTTTCGTTACATTGTCGACAGATCTCCTGTGTACCGGTTTTGTGGCACAATGATTATAGCCATTATATTTGGTCGTCTCCATTCTTGTGCAATCATGCATATGTAGGTTGGTTCTCTTCATGTTATTGTGAAGATGTTGGTTGCCTTGTTGCTTTCTCTCCCCTCTCCTCTCACCCAAGCCATTCTGCATAAGCGAAGCTGTGGACGCAGCATACTGCTGCTACACTTCAACGCGGGAATGCGTATAATAATAATAATAATTGGCACAGTACCCAAGTTCAATACTAAAGAAGCGTTGGAACTTCAAACTGAGCAAGAAGCCAGACATGATCAGCACATAGGAAGTGGTATGCCATGAACACTGTTGAAAATTATCAATGGTTATTTCACTTATTTGTACAAATACATCGTAGGTAAGGCAGTGCTGAACTTCATGGCATCATAGCCAGTGCATGTGCCAGTACACATCTATGATCTTCTAAAGCATAGGCCCACACAACATAAAACAGTGATGTTACTGCAGTACTTATAATGCTACTACACTACACTTCCATGCAATAGATGGGTATCCAGTGGGGACATCAATAAAACCGTCTCTGCTGTGATGCATCCTACAGTGCAGCTACCGTCAGGAAACTGCTGTAAATCGATTTTTTTCTACGGCACTCACACACGATGAGGCTCTGAAGCACTAGTAGTTCAGTACCGCAGTGCTTTGCACACTTTTACCTGTTGTTGAACTGATTTCATGCCGTGTACACTACATGTACTTACGTTGTCTAGAAGGTTGACCAGGCGATTGTGAACGTCCTCGACCGTGAACAGGTCTGTGTAGTTGCCGACAAACATGTGATTCATAGCTTGATCATTGTCCTCCAGGAAAGTCACAATGCCTGCCTTGGAATTAGCGAACACTCCAATCTGCAAGTCAAAGGTTGAAGAGAAGCCAGTAGAAATCAAATCACACCCACATACAATAACTAACACACACCTGCGTGCACACCCAATACACGTGCACACACAATCATGCATTCTCTCTCTCTCTCTCTCTCTCTCTCTCTCTCTCTCTCTCTCTCTCTCTCTCTCTCTCTCTCTCTCCCTCCCTCCCTCCATCTATCTATTCATCTACCTACCTACCCACCCACCTATCTACTTCGAAGTACCTACCTACCTATCTGCAGTCAACCTTGCAAATAACGACCCTCGACCCTTGATCTCCCTGTCTTATCTGTACTGAGCATATATCTAAAGACTACAGCATACATTCAAATACAAGCATACCGCACAGCTGCAATGTTAATACTGACAATCAACAAACAGTGCTGACCTGGACCGATACAAAAATAATCTTCAGAATTTGCAGCACAAATTTCCAAGGCTTCTTCTTGTGTTCCATGTACTTGCGATGAAAATCACTGAAGTGAAAACTGACAAAGACAAACAGAGCAAGACACACATGTATTACATATACGCAAAACCATGACGTCACATCAAGTTTTTGAGCCGGCTGCAACGAATCAAATGGGCAGGATGGTGAGTAGAAGTCAACGAACGGGTCTGTGCCAGGGGGGCACCCTGCACCAAAATGGGATATAATGGTAAACATGCATCGTGAGTTCGAGTCTCACCGTTCTGTCTGGCACTTTTCCTGGGTTTAAATTAGTAGTGTGCACGGGTAGTCGGGTACCCGTGCTACCCCGGTAACCCGTGAGGACCTCGGGTAGACGGGTACAGAATACTACCCGCAAACCCGAAGTCGCAGATGACATCATGTACAGTGCATGTGTACAAATTCATGCAAATACTCCGCATGTCTACCCAGTGTGTAAGGCCAGGGGTGCATTGTGGTGTTACCATGGTAACATTACCCGATCGGGTACACGTGGGAAACTACCCGAACCCGCTGCCCGAAGAAAATGCTACCCGACTTAGCCCTACATTCGTAGTTTAAATCATAAAGCATTATAATGTGCATTATAATGTGCATTATGGTGTGCATTATAATGTGCATTATGGTGTGCATTATGATGTGCATTATGGTGTGCATTATGATGTGCATTATGGTGTGCATTATGGTGTGCATTATGGTGTGCATTATGATGTGCATAATAGAGAGGTTGCGCACAACGAAAATTCGTAAGATTTGGCCGTGACTGCTTGGAGTAACGAAAGTTCTTCGTCAACTTCTGACGGGAAAGAGATGAACAGCGAAAATTACTTTCGTTGCAATGACCGTACTGCCACGCAGTAATGTACGACGCCTGTATACTGGTGTACACTTAGTTCGTCATGCCTGACTGTCGAGACCTAATAACAGTTCTCCGAAAAAATTGATGCTGCCACTTTTGCCCAACCTCTGAATCGCCAAAAATTTAATATTTGTAGCCTTTTTCGTGGTAGCCTGATCTGTTGAACACTACGCAATTTTGTTATGCACAATTGAACCCCTCCTTTTCTCAATTTCTTTTTTTTGAAAGCTCATCGGCTTTCAGAATTTTGAACTGCATTTTCATTTTTTCGGCTCATATATTCGGTAACTTACCATGTATACAATGTTTTTCTTTGTTCAAAATACCTCGAAGACTTGTGCTGTGGGGACTTCTCCTGATCTCCTGCGTGATACTTCATATCGTTTCGCGGTCTTAGAAACTTGAACCGTCGTCACCAATCTCTTCGACAGGGTGGGAATCGCTGGCATGGTTACATGTCACCTGGTGCAGTGTGGGGAGCCTGCCAGGGAAATTATTTCTTTTTACTTGAAGGTAACTTAGGGCATGTTCGATTGGTTGGATCCGGTCCAGATCGATTGAGTGGATCCTTTGGATCCACCAAGGTCCAATCAAACGTTGCCCATGATGAATCTGGAATTTTAGTGATTTTGATGGTTTCCATGAGAGAAAGCAACGATTTCCGCATCATTACTTTTCTTTCCACCATTTGTACACGTATCACGTACAGAGTACGATCTTTGGCAAAAATGAATAAGGTGGATATGGTCAACCCTGCTCATGGAGTAGGGAGATCGGTTCCAGATCCAACATCCGGATTCGTTGAAACGAACGTGCACATATCGAGTGGATCCGATTGATCTGGATACAGATCCAACCAATCGAACATGCCGTTAGAAATGATTCCAAGTGCGCCATGTTTGAGCTCTGGGGTTCTCCATCTACATGTAACTTGACGATGTTGACGCCGTAGCACCAAGCTATCTAGCACACCATCCCAAGAATTGTTCATTAACTAAGTTACTTACGCAATGGCACCGTGGCAACTGGTTATGATCAGAAACGTCAAATGGTGCATATGAACCATGCTGTTGTGCTCTGTGATGGCTGCAGTACTGCCTGCAAGGTATGTCCACACCATTGGTACATAGCAACCAGTCTTCTCGCAGGTCTACCCCCCCCCCCCCCCCAACCCACTGCCATACTCGTCTCCTGCCGTCTCAGTGCACATCCCAACCTGGATCAGGCACCGCCTATCAGAATGCCATAGTTTTCATCATGATCAAATGGAGACAAATCATCCCCCCCCCCCCCCCCACACACATGCTTACCTCAAACGCGATCGTAATGCACGCAATTCCACTTCTGGTGCTACGGTGCCCTGCTTGCTGCGTTGCCGCTCAGTCACCGTGTTTCGGCGCCGCAGTCGCCGTAGAAACGGCTCATTGTCTGGAAGGCCGCACTCACAGTCAGCAGATCCTTTAAACTGATTACCAGACGAGTCGGTTGCTTGATCTGATGCATTGTCACCATTGCGTGACGTGATGCGAGTGAACAAGTTTCCCACCCACTCGCGAGCACTGCTTGATGAGCTTCTCCGAGTCATCGGTTTACGGGAGCGTGGTGCTTGCGGAAGGAATGGCGCCCGCTCGTCATTGGTTTTACTGCCAGGAGGTGCATCTCCGTTGATACTATTCGTGACGGCGGGTGTGTCATCGATGGAGCCGTATGACCTCAACACACTCGCCATCTCCACTGTGCTCTCCCTGCGCTTGAACACAGGCGCTGGTCCAACCCCAGAAGCCAGGATGAAAGCATACACAGTGAGGGAGCAATGATGATATTAATTTATTTATCTGGTCAAATCTAGACAGGCTTGACAGGCAGCAGTAATGACCATCCACTTCTTGCTCCTCCGAACAGCGTGAAAATGGCCGAAGGCATGCTATGCCAGTCAGTATAAGATCACGAACATCTGAACTACCACTGCCAGAACCTGGAACAATCACAAATTCACAAGGCCTTGGACACGATTGCCGTTTTTATTTCAATATTTCAAACAGTGAACACAACCGTGTACAAAATCGTCCCGGGAAGAAAAGCAGATGCGACCTGGAATAGATCGATGCCGGAATTGGGAAGGAATGATAATTCAAAACTACATGCAGACTGGAGATATGCCACGCACTTTCTGAATACACCAGATATCAAAGAAGAAAGACACGTACACTGAACAACCCTGAAATGTTGTGAAATTTTGAAATACACGTACAGTCATGTAGTTATGACTTATGACCTGACGTTATCATGTTATGTTCTGAACCAGGGAGTAGTAAAATACGTATTTTACTACTCCCTGTTCTGAACTGTTCAGATCAGCGCCGGCCGATTCAGTGCCGAATGAATGCGTGGAATCCGCGGATACATCTATCCATGCACGTCGACGTCATTTTTATGGCAGATGCGCTCATCGTCGTCATCATCGATCATGCATGTGATCAAGAGTAGATAAATATCAGGGAGTCGTAACTTTTACGACTCCCTGAGCATCTTCTTACACGATCTCCAAGGGAACGTGAATATGGCGTCAGCACGCCACGATTGTGGGTGCACCGGTACGCGGTGGCATCTAGCTGGCTGGCTGAAATAATTAATAATAATAATTATTGTGAAGAAGAAAAAAGCAGGCAGTACAGGATGTACCACGAGCTGCATGTATCAGCAAAGGAACTTCTTCGAAGTGTTTGAAAGGCAGTTTGTCTTTTGTGGATACAGTACCAAGAAGACTCGTACGTACGTGTGACATTGTACTTCTTTTGCATCTTCATAATCTTGACACTGATACTATAGTGATAGGATATCTCCGGTGTTTGGGAAAAAAACTATTGGCTGAGGCGATTTTCGCACTGGAACTATCTTTTATTGCAATAACACTGGTACGTGTATTCAGTTTGACATGTGGTAATTTTCAGGGGACCCTCCATCATTTCTGCGACAGCCAAAACACAACAGTCAAGAATTAATTAGAAATTCGATTTCGACTAAATATTCGCAGTCAAGAATCCCACATTTAAACACTGGACTGACTTAGAGGTGAATATCATCCACAACAAAGTGAATCCATTAGTCCCCACCTGGGCAGACATGGCGTCTGGAGTGGCTAGTTCCCCAGCAGCTCTAGCATGTGTTACTGGTTGTGAGCCCTTGCATACAGCAAAGTGGCTGAGTCTGAATCAGCTAACATGGACTGACCCGTCCGGAAAGACGCGGCAGTGGGAGTCACTGTCACGCACCACACGGCGACCTGGTGCGGATTCGGACGGTGCAGATATCATAGCCACGATAAAGAAGTCTGGTGAGGAGGACCGGCTCGTGCTGGTGAAGCAATTCCGGCCGCCCATGCGTGCCTGCACACTGGAATTCCCCGCTGGTCTGATGGACCCGGCCGAAAACGTGGAGACGACTGCTATCCGCGAGCTCTATGAAGAAACCGGCTACCAGGGCAGAGTGGAAAGAGTTAGCAAGGCGGTCAGCATGGATCCGGGTGCGTCTAACTGTGCAACTACCATGGTTGTAATACACATTGATGGTGATGACGAGGTAAATGTGAACCCGTCCAAGCACCTGGACGAGGGTGAGTTCATCGATGTCATGTGCGTGCCAATCAGTGGTCTCCTCGCTCGACTGGAAGAGTTGTCCGCGTCCATGACTATCGATTCACGCCTGTATGCCTTTGCACTGGGCTTATCCTATAGATGATGGGCCGGATCTGGGTACTATAGCTGTACTCACTCAGCCTTGGCTACATACTACATGCCATCGCAGCCGATGCCGAGTATATTCTCTGGAAGAACCTGCCTAAGGGACACTATCAGTTGGAGTTATGTTTTACTGTATAGGGTTTTCCAGCCCATCAGTTAATTCTAGATCTTTATTCAGATATGTTTTACTGCAGCCCATCAGATGCTGTTCCAATAAGATAATTCTTTTATGGTATTCTCTCCATGGATATGTCGAATTCAATTTTTTTGGTTTTTTGTTCTTAGCATGTGTTGTGTGAGACTGTGTGTACTGCAGACTCGACTGTTCACTGTATGAAATTTAATTTTTGCTAGTTTTTTAGGTGGCATGTTGTTTTTTTACGTGACTGTACGGCCAACGCTGTCCAACATTCGCAATGATGTCACATGCCGACATGCACGGAGACATGGATGGTCCATTTTAGTATACACTGTACCTACAATTTCTGCCCTAAGGTCCTCCACAGGGGACTGACATGCCGTGGGACTTGGCAATGCAACACAGATGCTGAACAGAACGAACAGTTGTCCACTGATAGATAATGAAAAGCGAAGTTGAAGATAATATTCAGAACACCCAATACGACCAGACGACACTGCACTGACACTACAGCCGACATACATGTGAGTCATTGTGTTTTACCATGCATACAGCACAAGTGCATGGTGGACCATTGCCATTGGTTGGTGGTAATACTAATAGTTCAATGTTGTATTTTTTGGTCTACAATGAGCTCATCAGCTGAGCTGAGTCCGTGATGTGATCCGGATATCCAGCGAATCAGGAAGTAATAAAATATCGGTATTTTACTACTCCTTGGAGCTGGCGTTTCCTTGGTGCACTGAAAATCTGACAGTCTTCAAAAATATTATTGAAAATGAAGGCAAGCATTTCGATAAAACAAAATAATTGGAACAGTTTGAATTGAAAGACTGCTACGTACATATGTCCCATCGACTCGTACCTGAGTCCAGCTTGAGAGCGAATATACAATACCGGTAGTAGTAATAGTTGACAAATTGTAAAATGAACGTTGATTCATAGGGGAGTTTCATCTTGCGAATGACTGCTCCGTGAATTATAGTGTTGCACCAGAGAGTTACGAAGTATATTCTGTGGAGAAAGCAATTGCCATGCAATCTGCTTTATCTATTCCTCGACTCTGCTGTGCACTTGCACGCCAAGGTCCACTTCGTCACTGTATGTCAGTTCGTCATCAGGGTACGGCTGCTGCTGGAATTCGGTGGGGAACTGGACGGATACCCGGACGAGGCGTCCTTGGGGATTTGGAGTTGAAACCTAAAGAGTCTCTTGTGCTGTCCGAAGAGGTGCAGAATATTCTGAATAAAGACGTAGACCCGAAGAAGCTGCGGATCGAGGAGAGTGGTCATATCTACCTTCCTGCAGGAGAGTATAGGAGAGTTCTGTGTAATGCTTTCGGCATTGCTGGCTGGCAGTTCTTTCCCATCACACCAGGCACGGTAACACCGGGCGGAGGCAATGACCCGAACACACAGCGCACGTTGACCAGGCGCTTCGCCCTTGTCGTGCAGGAGACACTGCTTGCTGAGTCAACGGAGACGGTCGAGTTCGTGGGCGTGCCGCAAGAGAAAATCCTGGAGTTGCTGAGCCGACTTCAATACGATGGCTTCGGACACTGCTGTCAGCAGATCGGCATTGCTGACGAGCTAAAGGAGCCTCCGTATCTAGCGGATTGGCGTGCTAAGTACGCAAAGCAACTAGAAGAGGTTTCTGAAGTGGACGGAAAGGAAGTGCAGAAACGGATCTGGAGACAGATATAAGCTCTGCTTGAGCAAGCGGGACTCCTTGCTGGTTTGGAATAATGCTTGCTGAGCTGGAGCAAGTTTCAAGTCGAAGTGCTGTTCTGTACTGACTTCTGAAAACTGCAATTAGTAGGTGGCGCTTATTTTTTTTATAACATGTGTATTATCACCTATCTTGAGTTTTACCAGCATATTGTCCAGTTCCCAAAATATGAAAGACTCGCACTACAAATTTGTGCATTAGGTACTGGATCTTTGGTATGTGCACTGGTACTATTGTTACCTGGGTGTACATGTACAAAAGAAGTAGCAACTCTAAAAGCAAGTTTCCCCGTATTACGATTCGAGAATACACAGGGAAAGTGGGAATTTAAGTGGACTGACATATGGGGCAGATGCATTGGGACGTAGTGTACCGTTGGGACGAAGTGTACTGTTTTGAGATGCAGTGTACGTGTATACTATTGCTAGTCTATTAGTCTACGGTATGGGACATTACTGTGGCCATGAGTGACCATCTTGACTTGTTTGGGAGCAGATTTTGGCAGGCACCATAGCGTAACAGCAGTGTATGATTTTAATACATTGTGCCTCATATTCAGCCCTACCTCACACCTATACGCACTCACAAGAGTGCACACACATACACACCACCACACCTCACACAGATACACACCACCACACCACACACATACACACCACCACACCACACACATACACACCACCACACCTCACACATACACACCACCACACACACATACACACCACCACCACCACACACACACATACACAACACCACCACCACACACATTGTGCTGCTATGAATGGCCCGCAACTCAGCCAGCAACGTTTGAAAAGCGGGTCTAATAGCTAGGGCAGCTTGCAAATTATGATTCACGTTTGTACGCAAAATACAAACAAATACGATGGTGAAAACCAAACGGTTCACTAGTGTTTTGGTAATCATCGTGACATTGTCAAGAAACGCTCGACAACAGAACGTGAATGAGAGCAGTGATATTGAATGTACACGTGATAACCTCTCTGTACCGAGGTGTACCGTTACGACAGTAGCATAGAGACTGAGCAGAAGAGAAGAGGTTCACTGGAAAATCAGAAAGTACTTCAAGAGGAAGTAGATGTGTGTGTTCAGTGAACATGGGTCCTCGCATAAATCCAGAGGTGGGTCATGTAAAAAACTTTAAAAATACTGTAGAAATACACCCCGTCCCGCGGCAGGGAAACTCAATCGGCTTGCCAGGTCAATGAAATTAAAACTTTTAAAACTGAACACATTTACTCTGTGCTCTGGATGCAGTTGACCGCAAGGAAATAAATCAGAGACGTGTTCCAGGGCTGGTGCCAGAAACAGCACGAGGCGAGTTCACCTCAATGCATTGCACTGGGGTTCACCTCAATGCATTGCACTGGGGCCCCGGAACACATACTGCATGTATACTGTATACTGTTGTAGTCTTCAGTTGTCCTCTACAAGACACAAAAAGCCACCACACTGACTCTAATCGCCCGTGATCTGTTGTTGACGGTAATGAGCTAACGAGCCAGCCAGCAGCAGAACAGTGAGTGCGTTGTCACTAGTGCGTTACGAGATACCGTGCATGCTCATCATTAGTTGCAGTGGTAGTAACTACATGTGTGTTGTGAAAGTGCTCCTGCATTCTTGATTATGAGAGATACAGCCTGTACTGTGATATGCAGGAGCACATCAAAATTAATGTTGTCGGCCCATGCCCTACTCAACACAAAGCCCCTCAAGACGACATGTAGCGATGCAACAATGGAAATCACCAGTAGGACGTGTCTGCACGCTACTCCTCGGGAATGGTGTGCACGTGATCATGTTCATCCTCCTCGGCATCGAGTTGTTTCTGCTTAGTACGCACATTCCAGTGCAGACATGAGGACAAGCTGGTGAACCAATCGGAAACGTGATCAGCACCGTCTATGCATGGCAACGGGTAAATGCTCATCGATATCGATACGCTAAGAAAAAAGCATGGAAATAAAGACACACACATACACACACACATACACACACATTCCAGCACAGCAAAGAAGACATTAGGTTGTACCATGTCTAGCTTTCTATGTGCCTATTGTATTCCAGTACAGTGTGTGTATAATGTATATGCATACCAGCTAGTACGCTACCAGTACAATATAGTATCCAATGGGAAGCCTTCAACGTTGTTTCCACCGCATCATCACGAGGAATGAACTCCTCAAGGCGAGCAACCGCTCTGTAGTGGATGAACAAAACTTCCACCTTTGACGATCTCCGCGTTCCACTTTCACCGCACATTGTGAGACCATGACTGTGTGTTATGTGCAAGGCTATGTCATGCGGGTCGTACGCGGCCGGGCTGTCACATGGTCACCTACCCTCCCATGCATCGGCGGTTACATCTCAAGCAGGTATGCCCCCAGACCAAGCCGCAAGTCATGCTTTATATAGAATGTGCTTGTTTTCACTGCGCGACGAACCCCTGCATGTAGGGGAAGCTCTTGCTCTTGGCGGCATGTGCATAATCCGCAATTAGAAACGTTCTGCATTTACACTACACAGTAGTGGTCACTGCCTACCTGTCACCCCTGGCCAGCTCTTGTCTGTTTTTGCCATCGCATGATACTGCACCCGTGCCACGACCATCCAACGGTACTTTGACCTGTGCAGACAGTCAAACACACATGCGCACAATAACTGTTAGACAGAGGTTGCGCACAATGGAAATTCATAGGACTTGGATGATACTAGCACATCAAGAAAAGGAACTTTCAGCAACCTTCGACTTGAAAAAACCTCAGAGAGAGAGAGAGAGAGAAAGAGAGAGAGAAAGAGAGAAAGGGAGAGATAGGGAGAGAGGGAGTGAGAGACAGACAGACAGACAGACAGAGAGTCAGGCAGAGTTGGAGAATGAGAGCTGACCTCAATTTTCACTCCACCGGGCACCATGATGGGTCGGAAGGAGAGCGAGTGCGGACATATGGGCGTCACCACCATGGCCTGAACACTGGGATGCACCATGGAGGCACCGGCTGCTGCCGCATACGCAGTGCTCCCAGTCGGTGTCGCCACAATTAAACCTGCAAAAAAAAGGCATTACATGTGCACATACAGAGATAGTCAGAGAATGCAACGTCCGCAGGAAGAGCAACCCCTTCTAGAGTTTTTTCTTGGAAACGCTTGTCTCTCGTGGAGAGCTGATTTCTCAACAATGCAGTAGGAATCGAGGCGTTTGGTGGCAACCGAAGGCGATATGCATCCACTGAACAACAGATCTTTCGAATGACCCCAATTGTGTAGAGTTCCGACTACTACAGCCTAGGGAGTTCAAACTGAACTCCTGCTGCGCCGCACTGTATCCATAAGATGGTGGTAAATACACACCTGGTGACATGACGGTAAACATGCTCCTGCCCACACAAGCTCTCTACGTTTATCATTATGGTTGAATAATAATTATGGTGGTTGGGGGGGGGGGGGGGGGGGGGATACACATAAATATAGCTGCAGTGGAGTCTTCAAAACGCACACTAAAACGCAAACTAAAAAATTAGTAAAAAAGTGTTCACTTGTTTGGCTGATCGAGAAAGAACACACCAGCTGATAACTTACCATCACCCTGCACATCTGTGATTTGCCGGCCGTTGCAATAGATCTCCAGGTTGCTAAGATAGGCAGACTGGCCACGATCAATGACCACCTCGTTCAGAACCTAAACAAAAGAAATGAACGGTTGTAACAGCAGACCCACACCAATGTGTTGCAATACGGACGCCGGCGGAGTATAGAGAAGCCGTTTACCGCGTGTTATGTGTACATGTACTACAATTCCTCAAACTGGAAAAAAACGGAATTGCAAAACATGAAGAAAAAAAAAGAGAAAGCACTTCCCACACCGGGAATTGAACCCGGGCCGTCTGGGTGAAAACCAGAAATCCTAACCACTAGACCATATGGGACAAGCTGATGGAGTAGAACCCAGCGTCACTCACCAGCATATGAGATGTCTGAGTACTGTTCGTGATGACACTGCTAGAACGACGAAAGCACACTGGTGGAGAGTCGGCTCCAGCTAGTGGCTGGCGGCCAGTGAGCGCGGAGGGTGATGTCGGTGAGGGTGACCGATGTTTTCTGTAATCCGGAGAGATCTGCCGGTGGAAGTCATCAGGAGCAAGGGAGCCATTGGAAGTGGATGACGAAGTGGAGGCTGGGTGCGCTCGGTTGATGTGACATGTCAGCCGTGAGCGAAGCGTCAATGTGCCGCGACCTGAACAAACGTAGCAAAAGAGGTCAACCTACGTTTGTTATGCTGCACCAACAGAAGGAACATGATGGCTAACAACAAGTAACAAGCACACAACTTGATTACACCACAGTTTATTGTAAACAAGCTTCTGCCGGGGTGGGGTGTCTTCAAATACCATTGCACATAATTATATGGCTGACTAAAAGACCTTTGCTTTCACCTACCATCTATGACGTCGGAGATGATCCTTCGATAGTTGTTGACGTCCAGCGGTGTGAGAAAGCCAAGCGAGCCAAGTCGAAAGGCAAGAATTGGCGGTACACTCTCCTGCAGCAGGACGTCACGGAAATGAGAGAGACAAAAGAACCATTACACAACTACTTAAAAAACAGCCAGGGAATCCCGTGCACCTCACATGTCACGACCCGCTATGTGTAGCATCCCTCTACAGGTTACACTGTGGCGTGTCCAGGATTCGACTGAGGGGGGGGGGGGGGGGGAGGGAGAGATGGCGTCATGTTACTGTCCTACATAATGATGTCACGTAGCTACCCAACATGCAATCACATCCCATGTATTTCTTCCAGACGTATCTCAGTTACTATCCTCATCACTGAGTCATGTTACTGTAGTACATCCTTGCCCAAAATTTATTTTTTTGCTTTCTGCAGTGGATCTCAGCTTTGTGCTCCTCAAAGAAAGAAGTACTCAGATGGACCCATGTGCTGCTGAGAACGGCTTGCACTTGGGAGTGTGTGTGTGTGTCTTTCTTCTCTTTCTCATTCTCCTTGCTCTTCTTTCATTCTCCTGGGCGGTTACCAACAGCCAGTGCATGCCGGAGTATGTGGTGTGATGTGTGTGCGTGAAAGAAATGGAAAAAAATGAAAAAGACCAAAAAGTAGGGATTCACTGGCCAGAAAAAGCCACTTCATAGCTGTGTTGTTGTTGTTGTTGTTGTTACTTTATTTTACTTCACCAGAATTACAGGCAGTAAAATGCCTTCTCACTAGACCAGGTCTAGTTCTCACAAATGATGAAGTGTGGTGTAGACCAGGCTGAATAGTGGTGGTCAATTCTTCAGCCTTGCAAGCTGTTGAATGGTGCAATCCCAGCACAAGCTGCTATGGCTTCTGCTGTGGCATCGCTATCATCGCCTCTGGCGATGGGCGTCCAATGGTGTGTGTGTCACTGTGTGTGTGGGGGGGGGGGGGGCACTGTGACGTACGCACGTGTGTGTGTGTGTGTGTGTTTGTGTTCGGGACTACTAGGATGAAAGTGTATGCCAGTGCACATTACATGTAATGGACACACAATCTATCTGCAGCACCCCTCTATCTGTTACATGTGACTACATTTTTACAACCAACACATGCTTTAGGCCAACGGCACACGATGTACATCGTTCATTTGTCGCAAAGCTTCATATTTACAGATTGGCAAAGCACACACACAAGAGCGAATGGCAGCATCACCTACTTGGAATAGCGAAGACACATAGAGCAGGGTTCCATCGCCGCCGAGACAGACAATAAAATCTATTTCAGCCATCTTGTCGTCGCAGTCAGGATCATCTGTTGCACGCAGCCAACAGAATACACACACAATTCAGTTGGCTTTCTGGAATGGAGCCCGCCAGTGGAGAAGTGTGAATTACTGCAGGCAAGTAACACTCTTGGTAACATGCTTATCATCATTAATTCGGAACTTGACATGTCTAACTAAACTTGCCGCCAGTCATCGTAAACACTCCACGGCACAGCAACCAGCTCACTACGGCACAGCAAACACCACCCCATGGCACAGCAAGCAACATTCCATGCTACATGGCAAACACCACTCCATGGTACACGGCAAACAACACACCATGGCACAGCAAACAACACACCATGGCACAGCAAACAACACTCCATGGCGCAGCGAACACCACTCCACGGTGCAGCAAAAACCACTCCATGGCACAGCAAACACCACTCTATGGCACAGCAAACAACACTCCATGGCACAGCAAACAACACTCCATGGCACAGCAAACAACACTCCACGGCACAGCAAACAACTCACCGCAGGAAAAAGAGTGCAGCTGTGATAAGACATTGGAAAACTGATTGTCATTGTGCACGTCTTTCTCTGACAGAACAGCATTCTCCACCATGACGCTCATTCCTTTGTCCTAAGAGAATCAAACACGCGCACACAGACAAGAAGGAATTATACCAGAAAGCATGCTGGTCGAGAAAACCATCAAGTTTTAAATCAACGGAGCAAAGTAAATTATTTACGATGAAGTATCAAGTATCGGAAAGCTGCGACTTTGTCAAGGCATCTTAAAAGGAGATAGTGCAGAGGGAGCTGCCAATATATCAATGTTCTCAATGAGAGCAGCACATCACTTCGAAATCGCCCATGATAAGGGCACCCTCCGTGATATCATCACTGATATCAGATGAAATTTGGAGCTGCTTGAGAGCAAAAATGCAGACGAACGAATGTCCAGACTTGGTCGGGTGTTTAAGAATCACAATGTAACTCACCCAATAGCAAACCATTTTAAGGCAGTAAAGAACTCCCCGTGGGGAGTACTTTGAGTGGCTACAGTACTATTTCAAGGCGTTCTAGATCCCCTTCAGGTCTACACCACTGATGCACTGGAGCACTGACCTCGACAAGAAATCGAGTGACGTCCTTGAACTTGGCCGTGACGCTGCGGTCACGGTACTTCTTTATGACCAGGACATTGGTGGGTGTGTTGTACCAGAGAAGACGAGTCTCTCCCGATGCATCGACGAGGAATTCGCGAAAAGACCCGGAGCTCCTGTGCAATAAACAACAGATATTCTGTGAGATCACCAAGTAGTAAGTACCGATGCAAATATACAAAGTATAAGTAGGGGTGGAGAATCTTTACAGGTGGGTGAACGCTAACAGACCGATTCAGTTGCCGCTGCAGAGTCACAAGGACAGATGTACAGGCATACGACTGTACACAATGTGTAAGCGTCTCCGTGTGCACGCATTGTAGCAGAACAATGCTGTCAAACAAGCAGACTCTCTTCCACCACAGGGATTGAAACAGCATACACTACTCATTATAAAAATCCAGATGAAGTGAGAGGAGCGGCACAGGAATGAAGTCTGCACTGTCAACGTGTCCGAAACAAGGACAGCGCTAGGGTTATAAAGCCTTACTTTCTAGTTGGGCCGCCGTCAGAGCGACTGGGTGGTGATCCCTGTGCATTAGTGCCGGCTGCACTGCGACCAAAGCGAGCGGCAGGAGCGGGTGCGCTTGATGTCCTGCGGAAACGCACAACACATGCAGCACTTATCGTCTGAAAAGTCTAACGTAACTAAGTACAAGACTAAGTACTAACGCTAGTATCTACTTGACCTGTAGTCTGCCATAGACCACTTGATTTTAATTGTAAACTGGAAATTCGGCAACTTAAATGACACGTATAGGCCAGTATGGCCAATTTAAACTTCCTTATGATAGGTGACGGTGACCGATGTATCCACATCTGTCACTACACGAGAGATGTTTTGAAGGCTAAGCGAATTACTAAGTCAATTGTGTACAGAACAAGATCGAAGCGAGTGCTGTTAGTAACTTTACTTATGCCGTATATTTCGGGGTCAGAGCTACACCAGGCAAAACCCTGCACCATCCTTGGGGTCAGAGCTACACCACTAGGGCAAAACACTGCACCATCCTTGGGGTCAGAGCTACACCAGGCAAAACACTGCACCATCCTTGGGGTCAGAGCTACACCAGGCAAAACACTGCACCATCCTTGGGGTCAGAGCTACACCAGGCAAAACACTGCACCATCCTCGGGGTCAGAGCTACACCAGGCAAAACACTGCACCATCCTTGGGGTCAGAGCTACACCAGGCAAAACACTGCACCATCCTTGGGGACAAGCTGTCACAATCCAATTCGTGTTTGTATGAAAAAACGAATGTTCAGGTAAAGGCTGCATGGGCGATCTTGGCCAGATGTATTCGTGCAAAAAGGTGGGGTGCCAGCTTTTTTGCACGAAAGATACGGTAGTTGGAGTACAGCAGTGCACACATTGGTGTATGCAATTTGATGTGCTGATCAGAATGATATACCACATGATCATGAAGTGAACAGGGTCACGTGACATACTAAGCCTGGATCAGGAGACCACCGTGAGGGGGGGGGGGGGGGGCACCTGGCCAAGTGAACCAGTTTATCAATCCCATGGGCATGGGCAGTGGTTGTCTTAAGGCAGGTGTTACTCTACATGACATTGTACACGTACTTACACCATTCTGTGTACATTGTGAGATAAGTGACTTTCAACACCCCCACTGTACATGTATGTACAGTGGGGGTGTTACATGTATGTACAGTGGGGGTGTTACATGTTTGTACAGTGGAACCTGTCTAAGACGACCGCTCAAGGGACCTTCAAAACGTTGTCTTTGTAACCAGGTGGCCTCCATATCCAGGGTTATTTGACCGAGAACTAGCATCCCTTGATCCTGGTTGTAGTGGTCCTCTTGGACAGGTGGTCGCCTTATCCCAGTGGTCGCCCTGACAGGTTTTACAGTATATTCAATAAGTCTCTCATCTGCATGACTATCTGTGCATTCATGCTTGATCCTGCCTCAAGGCCAGAGCAGTTTCACAGTGAAACCCGGCGAGAGCATAGATTTTGCCCAAAATCATGTGATTACTTTCACACGCTTTTGCGGTACAGTTGGCATGCGAATATGCCCTGCTTGTGGTGTGCGAAGTGGCTCACCCGTGCACACTTTGACGAGTGCTATACAGTGACAGGTTTCGCACACGTTTTGCAAATAGAATCCTCTGGTTCTGGAGTAGAGTTTGATTAGCATGACTCATATATGAGGCTGCTATGCTGCCTTTGCGGCACCAGCTGTTCAAATCTGTTCTATATTGTACCAGCCAAATGTACCCAAGGCAACGACTTATAACTGAGATTTCTCCACACCACAACCGTACACCGGTACCGGCACTGTAGCGGTCACCAAGTAACGATTTTTTCCTAAAATAAAGTACAGACATGCTCATTTATCCCGCAACTTCCGAGTGCAGAGAGAGAGAGAGAGAGAGAAAGAGAGAGAGAGAGAGAGAGAGAGAGAGAGAGAGGGAGAGAGAGACAGACAGACAGAGAAAGAGAGAGAGACAGAGAGACAGAGAGAGACAGAGAGAGACCGACAGCAAGCGAGAGAAGAAACACGTGACTGCATACAAGAAACGTTGTACGGTACCTGCGGCCCTTTGGTTGGCTGGCAAACTGCTTTCGCTTGTCAGCAGGCGAGTCCATGGTAAAGATTGGATCACAAAAATGAATACTTGCACTGCGATTGTATTTGTGTCACAAGCAGAATATCATTCTCGTCTTCAAGTTCAGCAACAGCTACTATTACTCGTGATACGGTTTGCTGACAGCGCACAGATGAACGCAAAGGTATTCTTGAGGATCGCCGGAGAAAGTGCTTCCGTTCTAATCACTGCTGTGCCAGCAACCACTTCAATCTCTCTTCATCTGCAGCTTGCACGTCCTCGTTGAAGAGGTGTACATTCATCATTCTGACTACATGTACGCTAAGCCTTGTTACCAAGTGCCCTAGCGCTGGTGGGGCTACTACTAGTACTAGTACTACAGTGGAGCTGTCCATTTATCGTCAGCTTGAGGCTAAAACAGCAAATAAGTCATGGTCGCGAGGAAACCGTGACAGGGTGCGTGGAATGAGGACGGCTGACAAACCGTCATGCAAGGCAGGATCCTGTCACGTTGAGTGCCTGCCTAGCGCCTGCACATGGCCGAGCGTATCTACAACAAGAAAGGTCGACACGAAGTTACAACCGTCGATGAAATTATGCTGCCGGTCACGTCAGGGGCCAGACACATACTGCATATCGGTAAGTAGTTCCAAACCCGGGAAAAAGTGATTATGAAGGCCAAAGAAGTGCACTTCAACTCAAAGCCAAACACTCAAAAGTCAAACGACTCAAAACTGACAGTTCACGAGTCATGTACTAGTAGTAGCGTAATCCTTGTAATGCATGGCACCAAGAGTACGAATACGTCACCCCCAACTATTAGTATTACTTGCCCAAGGCCAAGACTCTGCAACTCGACTACAGTATTATCTAATAATTATAATTATCACTCCCTAAGTATTGACTCACATAGATTTTTGCCATACCTAAGGAGTCAAATATTCCTGCATATTTCACTCCTTAGGGCTATATTGACTGCTTATATTTGACTGCTTAGGGGTTGCGCAGTTGAACGGTGCCTAGTGCAGCATTGTCACTGCATGAGTAGGTGGTGGTGCAACGGTTGTGCAATCATAAAACCGGGATTCATGAGGTTATCGTTCTGGAATTTGAAATACGGATTGTTTGTCGTGATAAATCTAATATTGACTTCGTACTTGGTCAGTATAGGAAATAAAAACCTCGTAAAAGACCTCGGCTTCGCCTCGGTCTTTTACTCGGCTTTTATTTCATATTGACCTCGTACTCAGTCAATATTAGATACTTTAAATATTGACTGAGTACATGTACGAGGTCAATATAGGAAATAAAAGCCGAGTAAAAGACCGAGGTCTTTTATTTCATACTGACCAAGTACGAAGTCAATATTAGATTTATCACGACTGACCAAAGCATGTGTTCAATCGCTAAAAAGGAGTCAAATATAAGCGGTCAATATAGCCCTACTGAGGAGTGAAATATGCAGGAATATTTCACTGCTTAGGTATGGCAAAAATCTATGTGAGTCAATACTATTAAAGGGAGTGATACATTTTTTTAAATATTATAATTATTATGGCAGTGCCGGTACGCGATATGAGTCTATGACCATGATGACTGTTGACATGTCGTGACAAGAGTCCATATTAAATCCCCAACACTATGGACTCTTGCTAGTGACTATGTAATGGCCTTGTAAGGCTTGTATGGGTGCTGTCACTGCTGTCGCTGCTGTCACTGCTGTTGCTGTTGTCACTACCAGGGAGTCGTATTTTACGACTCCCTGGTCACTACTGTGTCTGTCACGACAGAATTTGTTAGTTGATGTCATTTTTATGATGCAATGCAAGATTATCAGATGAATCCGGAACCTGTGGTGGACCAAATTGCAAAGCCAATCTGATCCTGTACAAATTATTGCAAAGAAAAAACGTGTGATGCGTTGACCTGGTTGACACCCGTACACATGTTGTAACTGTTAAATCACTGGTGCAAGGAGCATTGCATCATAAAATTATAAAATTTAATAATGACGTCAACTTGAAATTATGTCGGGACAGCAGGGTAAAGAGTGTATTGAAAAGCTGGACAAATCGACATTCGCCGTCCGGCATTTAATTTAGTCCAAAAGCCCCTTGGACGAAAAAGACGAAATTAAATTCCAGACGAATATTTCTGCTTATACAGTATGTGGAAGTTGCACACTCTGGGGGGGGGGGGGGGGGAGTTATGTACTCTTGGTGGCACCAAGGAGATCAAACATGCGTCATTATGAACGTCACATTGTGGCGTCAGGTTGGTTAGGTAACCATGGTCACTACACCATGAAGCCAGCTTGCTGGCAGGTGTGCATCACACTCCGGGAGTCTTCAACAAATTCAATTACATGTACATGTATGTATGCAGAGTATCATTTTTTAAATGATACTCTGCATTCCAATGATAGACTTGTAGTAACCCAAGAAAGAGCATTGCCGAATTATTTGGGTTGTCTTTTTGTTTTGTTTCTTACTTTATATTATGGTTTCATGCGATTGGCTTTGTGAATAAACCCGTTCTCAAGGAACACAACGGCTGGAGTATGTCATGCTGTTTAACACGCTATTTTCGATAATTTCGGTAGAGAAAATAGGCACCTGCCGATGTACATGTGCATATACCTGCTGTATTTAGGTTACACCTAAAGTAAAGGCAGCGGAGTGTGCGCTTTATGTGAAGGGAACGCTGGTCACCTAATTCTACATACTAGCAGTAAGGGAGTACTAAAAAAACTAGTACATGTGCACCCTGTTAGTAGCACCTGAAGCCCGGTTCAGGATACTTGGTAGCCTCCCTGACACCGAATTTTTTTATATACAGTGAACTTCGCTTATAACGACATTCGGCGGGGCCTCAAAAAAGTGTCTTTATTCGCGAAGTGTCGTTATACCCGAAGTCTCATTATGTATTACAGGTGGAAAGGACTTTGCTCTGGGCATGGAAATGCTGTCGTTATTCGCGAATTGTCGTTATATCCGCAGTCGTTATAAGCGAAGTTCACTGTACACCTGATTAATTCGTGGGGTTATGTACTCTTGCCTGGTCTTGGAAACATGTGTTACAGGTTCAATAAATTATACATCATGCACACAGGCTAAGCAGGCTACATGACTAGTAATGGCTGGGGATATGGGAGACTCGGTGTAGACCATTGTCGACTCGACCTAAGCCTGAGTTGGGAAGGAGAGTCTCTACGGAGTCGTCGCAAAAGTTTTTAGCCGTCCATGAAATGAACATCGTGATGTTCATTTTATACTCGAATGCCTCCCCACCCTCCGAGATGTGAATGCACGGTTGGCTATGCTGGACGACGAAAATCGCATAAATGTAGTGCAAGTGTACAAATATGTGTCGTACAGTGTTAGTCGACTTGAGATTTTGGCTCCCACCGGGTACCCTCCCCCCCCCCCCCCCCACTGAACGGTGTTCATTCAGGGGAGACCGTGAAAAAACTTTGCGACGACCCCTAAACAGTTTTAAATGGTGAGGAGACGATCACTACTAAAGTTAGTTGTGAAGAGGAGACTCGCATCAATGTAAAGAAAAGGTCCGGAGGAAACTGATGTATACTAAAATGTTGAAGCAAATCAAGAATGCATGAATATGACTATAAAAGACAGCAATCCATACTTGTACTGTTATACTTTGATAGCCTAAAGTTGGTATGCCGCCCACTTGGCAACTTCCCTGAAGCACATCCATGCAGTGGCAGTGCACGAGGGAAGGTCCGTCCACGGCCTGTACTCAGCGGGCCAGCCAAGGCCTCAGTGGCTGTGCCAAGGCCTGGCTGTGCCAAGGCCTGGCTGTGCCAAGGCTCCAAGGCTTTGATTTGAGCCGCTTCCGGGGAGCCAGCAGATAGCCACAGCAATTCACGGCGGCAATCCGCATCAAACTTCTTGAAAGGTTTCCTGTGGGAAAATGACTCTATACTTTAATGAGAAAGCAAGAAAATCATGGTTAGGAGCAAACGCTCCAGCTTACTCCAATGCGCAAAAAGCAACAACATAGGACGTGCAATTCCCATGGTACATGGAAGGAAGAACCTTTTTGAAAGAAATGTTTTCAAGTCGGTGATTTCTGATTTGGTCCACTTGAGAAGCAGAGACTGTCCAGCTTGAGCGAGTGCTCATGGTCAATGCTCACACGAAGCGGCACAGAGCTGCAGCAGAGTTAACCTTTGTTAGACTTCGCAATTACGCGATAATATCTGGAGTATGCACGTGTGACGGCATAATGGGAAATAAGATTATTAAAAGTTAGAAGTCGGTGCACGTCAGTATTAAATCTGTGCCTGGTTACCATTTACGTCCTGTCTAGATCAAGCTGATTGCTTACGCCCAAAGAAGAAGCCCCAGCATTGGTCACCAGTATTGATCAATTCGATATTGGCCTTCCAGTTAGTGACAATGTCATCATAGTCTTTCTCTGGAAATTCCTGTGAGTAAAATGGAAAGTGGATGACCGTGATAATACACGTGAGAAAGTAGATGAACACGAATGGGTGGGTATGATCTCTGCCATCTTCTACATGTACCAATGAATAAGTAGTAGTAGTAGTAGTAGTAGTAGTAGTAGTAGTAGTAGTAGTAGTAGTAGTATTTTATTATTTTACTTGGGTATACCCAACAGGACTATGGCCTTCGTACAGGGTGCCCAAGGAGAAATTGTGAGCAGCTAACGCGTACAGCAGGTAAGGTACGCTGGGATCGTATGATACAGTAGCGGGTAGTGCATTAAAGGGCGGAGAGCTCCAGGCACCCTCCATTCTCAAACATATCGCAAACGATGGCCGTGACCGGCGTATTACAACGTATAACAACGCATTTACACGCAACTGTCACAGAAAATGCACAAGCAGTCTGTTCGTAGCCCTTGGCGGATATCGCCAGCAGAAAAACAACCAACCAAAGTCTAGTACCATGTTACATTCCGTCCGATATGAATGTATACTCATGCTAAACTACAAGATGACAGTTTGAAACGGTTTCTTTTGAACGTACACCAACCATATGATCATACCTTAACAAGTTCGCGGCTCCACTCCTCGGATGCACTCTTGGTTTCACGCTCACAGAATTGGCGACTGCGATCATCTGCTACAACCTCTACAAATCCAGCATCGCAAAGAATCTAAACAGGGAACACACACCGATCCCGGTTATCAGAAGACTACGTGACTGTATCACAGTAGAACCGCCTGACTCAGTGGTGATTGCCTCCCTGGAAAACTCTGAATCACAACAGAGATTCTCGCATATGTGAACAAACGTTGCACTCTGCATAGGGAGTAGATTTCCGGCAGTCAAGTTCCACACCTTTCTTGGCGTGGAATAATTCGGACCGAACTCCCTGCACTGAGACCCAGTCACCACACATCCAACCGCAGCCAGGTAGGGCGGTTCACTATGATCCTGTTAGCATTCTACTTCCAGAGCTAAATGAACCATAAGTAATAGTAACACCGCTTAGGCTGTGGTTACTGGACGACTCTCACAATGCAAGCACCAACAGTCATCAGCCCGATTACCTGGCCGTACTGCTTGACACTGTGCAGTTCATGGCGCTGCCGCTTAACACGGGTCTTGAAACTATCGCTCCATTCTCCCTCACCGTAGCAGAAGTCTGAGATCAGTATGCGTCCGCCAGGTTTCAGCCAGCGCTGCATAAACACAGGAGGATAGCAACACTTAAACATTCAACCGTGATGCAATACATCGAAATATTAGTTGTAAGGGGCCGTCCGGCATTATTGATAATTTCCATGAAGCAAAAAAGTTTAGTTATGACCCTCTTAATCTCCAACCCACCCACCGGCCCCTCTGAACGAAAAATATATTGACTTGACAGCTAGAATGGATTGATGTTTCAGCTATCAATATTTTTCATAACGAAACTCTCCTCGACCCACCCACCAATAAACGAAACTTTTTTTCGTTTTGTGTAAAGATTGATATTATTATGGACAGCCCCTAAGCAAAATACCTTCCTCAGAGAAAGGTTTGCTTTCGAGGGCATTCGAATGTCGTTATGTACAAGTTTGTAGTGGGTGGCAAACCATTCCTTGTGATATCACTCCGCACAATATACTTCCAAAATGGCACACTGTGAGCTTACTTCACACAGCACCCATGAACCTCCAATAATGACGAAAAACGGGCAAAAATATCGGCTACCCGTGTGACACGACGCTTGATTGTTATAGACACGGGCCGTGTCTACATGTATAATATTGATGATAATCAAGCGTCCAACAGTGGTACCAACCTTCCGTATTACAGAAAATCACCCCTCCGTCCACACTATGGAATTTGAGCAAAATGGTACGGAAGAGGATCGATCAGCTAAGGCTGATGTATGTACAAGCATGGCAAGCGCAAGCTGAGGGATGAATATCCCGGTGTGCCAAAGCGAGTGCATGCCGTGCTTCGACTACATGTAGCACAAAAAGTCAAAAACCCATGTCATGGTAGTAGTCACAGATGTTTTGCACTAGCAAATCCAGCCAACGACAAGCATGTGAGTGTCAAAAACACAATGCAGTGTGCAAGCAATACACACGGCAGTTCATTGGCAGTATGCCAAAAAAACAGCAAAATAGTTAGTACGGAAAATCAGAAATCACAGTACGCAAAGCAGACCCAGTTGGTTGCAGCCCTGGCGTACAATCAGGCCGTGCCTACCCCTCGGTGAAGGGGCGTCTCAGCTACACAGTCATTGTCAGTTGATTACCTCAGGTGATGTACATGCAGCCAGCCTTAGGTGAGTGTGTTATGTGTGTCATCAGGGCAGCAGACATATTAATTATTATAGGCTTTTTAGCACATGTTGCGGCACTTACAAAGAACTTCTTGACAATTTCGGCTTTTCTGGGAACGTACTGCAAAGTGTCTCGGCTGTAAATGACGTCAAAGGACTCGTTGGGAAACTGACGCTTGGTTATGTCAGATACTTCATACAATACCTGCAAAAGAATTAAAGTGTTGAGTAATCAGCGGAACCGGCTGCGGAATCGACACCATGAAGACTTTATTGATTTTGCCACTGTGACAAAAAAATGCAGAAACTGGCTCTGTTTCTGTTTCTGCTCCTGTTTCTGGTATCAGCTGGTTCTGTTAACTGCGATTTCTACCCTATTGTCACCTCGTCACCTTTCAAATGTATTGTAAATCAACTAGTAATAATTTTACGATTCACACGAGAGGCTATTATGGCTGGCAGACTATTCAAACACCTAAAAAACATGAGAGCTACTATTGCAGTTGACCTCAATGCACTCACGGTTGCAGAAAAACAATCAGCTGGGCCCTCAGTCACAGCTCTTAGCCTGATGTCAAAGCCCGGTGGACCTAGACCAATGTCTGCATACACACAGGTACATCGTGTGATGTAATGGTCTGGCAAATGAGTCTTTTAAGCGCGCATTTGCACATACCGCTCCTGCTGAGCAGCTGACCGCCCGTGACAGAGCAATGTGCACCATGTTGGTAGAGAGATCCAGACCCAGCACATCCACACCATGGTTCTCCGCCATGTACCGAGCAGCTCCACCCAGGCCCGATCCGACATCCAACACCTTCTCGCCCTTCTGCAAATTTAGCATTGGGACAAACTCCTATGAGGAGAGAAGGGCAGAAATAAATCAGAGATTAGTTACAATTAGGCTGCTCCCTACACTCGAGCTTGTGCTATTCTGCCGACTTGACTTGAGACTTGACTGCCATCCAGAGCGCACGATAAGTCAACGGTGTACGCTCATTAATGTGCACTACTGTTGTTTGTCCGGCTTCCTAGTTAAAGGGGAAGTTAAGCCTAGAATCAAATTTTCACCAGTTGTAGTCTTCGGGGTGCTGAGTCGAACGGTCTTGGTCCAAAGGAAGATGAGACGCTATCTTCCTCCTTTTTTCCCAATTGAACTCGCCACTTCCACCGAAACTGGGTGAGTGCACCCTACTAGATGGGGATTTGTATGCAAAAATGTCACTAAAAGCGCCATTTCGTTCTTATAAAAGCACGGATGACGGCGATTGGCCCATATATTGTAGTCTTTTGGACACTGAGTCGACTGGTTTCAGTCCAAAAAGGCTGCGATGCAGCGTTCGGCCCGTATTCCCAATCGAACACGGTTGAGTAAGCGGTCACGTGCTTGTGCGTACGCCAGTCACCTGGTCACCGTGCCCGCAGGCTACAACTTACAGCGTATTTGGGCACGTTCCTGTCACTCGAGTTGAACCTTTGAACCTTTGAGTTGAACCTTGGTGTGAAAGTTGTAGCCTGCAGGCACGGTGACCAGGCGACTGGTGTACGCACGAGCAAGGGCCAAGTCTATCCTGGCGCAGGAAGATCGCCTGCCTTATGGAATTCTTCCATCTAGTCACCACCCAACCAGAACCTTTTGAAGCAGCGGGATACTGCCCCACACGTAGTCGCCGCCGCCAACTCGCATTCACTCTGCCACGGGTTGGGAAACACGCCGGGAGGTCATTTCTCTTCCGCACCGCTACTGTCTGGAATGCCTTGCTCGCAGACCTGAGAGCCACAGCCTCGCAGTCCCTGTTTCACAGTCACATTTGCACGCACTTCTCTGACACCAAACACAATGCCACTCCTCACTGACATGCCTCTGTCCTCCTTCTTTGAGCGTTGCGCTTATTCTTATTTTGTGTTTCTGTTTCGGCATATTTCGTATTTTAAGGCATATCCGAAGGCTATAGGTATTATTGAGTAAAGGACCATTCTGGAACATTCAGCATAATTGTATTTCTCTAGCTAGGCTGTTCATTACGAATCATTAGCCCTCCACTGTCTGCTATCTCAACCCTACAGCCTCCCATTATAATGGAACTCCCTTCAATTTAGACTACGTCTTTGGGAAATCCTCAAATATATATAATAAATATATACAATCAGCTCCAGTGCTTTTGCAGCACTGTCGAGCACTCTTCGCGTTGACATGGATCTCCTCCTCTCTTAATAAATAAATATAATGGAAGTTTCCGGAGGAGGAAGGAGGAAACTGTAGTTATCACCAACCCTCACCGCGCCCAGCTCACGCCGCCACGGCGTGCGACCTGAGCTGGGCGCCCTGCCCAGTATGGAACTGTCCTCAAGCCAGTCACGTATTTGGCAGCCCAGTGAGCTGTCTACCGGATCGCAGCGTTTAGAAGCGCCAAATGCGGCAGGGCCAGTCTCAGGCTGGTCGCGTAGGCGGCAGGCCGGCGGGCAACCGGCAAGGCTGCATTCGCATTTGGATCACCGAAGTGATACAGGTGCTTCGACGGCACTCTGTGACGCGTCAAGGAGGCATCTGGGGCCCAGGCAGCCCGCCCGTAAGCGCACCACTGTATCAGGTATGCGCAGGTGGAGCAGCAGAGCAAGATGTGTGCCGGACACTCACCATCATCCGGTTGACTGCACGGTTGTGGGACTTTACACAGCCGTCACTCATTACTTGCTATTGCTTGCAGAAGGCCAGAATTTTTTTTCTTTCTTTTTTCGCTCTTTCCCTTCGAGCACTCTTCGCGTTGACATGGATCTCCTCCTCTCTTAATAAATAAATATATATATTTATAATAATAAAGTGACCGCTTACTCAACCGTGTTCGATTGGGAATACGGGCCGAACGCTGCATCGCAGCCTTCTCGGACCAAAACCAGTCGACTCAGCGTCCGAAAGACTAGAACATATTGGCCAATCGTGTTCATCCGTGCTTTTTTTTAAGAACTAAATGGCGCTTTTAGTGACATTTTGCACACACGTTCTCATCTAGTAGGGCGCAGTCACCCAGTTTCAGTGGGAATGGTGAGATCGATTGGGAATAAAGGAGGAAGGGAGCGTCTCAGCTTCCTCAGACGAAGACCATTCGACTCAGCACCCCGAAGACTATAACTGGCGACACTTTGATTTTTAGGGTATACTTCTCCTTTAACGGAGGCTTAGTTGCTTCACCTACTGGGAGCCATTCTTAGAGATCAAGTACTCAGCTGAGACAACGGCCCCTTTCCTAATTTCCAGGATATTATGAGTGCAAGAAGAGCCTGTCGTTTCTAAAACTTGGCTACGAGGCTCACTCAGCCTGCCATCGGATGAAGTGAATGGGCAGAGCTCAAACGTTGTTTTTTTTTAAATTTATGTTTTACTTTTTTAAACGAGAGAGCTTGGAAGCTCAGGGCCCTATGCTATGCTTTTTTGCCTTGATGAACTAGGCAAAAAAAAGCATAGGGATGTTATAAAATTTTCATTTCGCCTATATTTTTCAAGACATAACCTGGGATTCGAACCCGCACCGAAAGCCCTATTTGAATATTGTCGCCAGCTGTTTGTAGCCAGCCGTCTTTGATGGTACGGGACAGGTACGGTCGAGGGTAATACGACACCGTCTATCACCTTGATGACCTGGGCCAAAAAAAGCTAAGGGATGTTATAAAATTTCATTTCGCCAATTTTTTTTAAAGGCATAACCTGGGATTCGAACCCGCACCGAAAGCCCTATTTGAATATTGTCGCCAGCTGTTTGTAGCCAGCCGTCTTTGATGGTACGGGACAGGTACGGTCGAGGGTAATACGACACCGTCTACCACCTTGATGACCTAGGCCAAAAAAAGCTAAGGGATGTTATAAAATTTCATTTCGCCAATTTGTTTAAAGGCATAACCTGGGATTCGAACCCGTACTATCGCCCTACATGCATTCAGATGACACCCCGATACACTTCGCATTCATACTTTGCTTCATGTTATGATCTTGCATTTGGAAGCCCTATTTGAATATTGTGACCAGCTGTTTGTGGCCAGCTGTCTTCATGGTATTTGATGGTACGGTACGGTACGGGACAGATACGGGATAGCGCCAGGCGTGACACAAACAAACAAATAAACACCAAATTAAAGCTGTGTGAACCCTGGCTAGCGCCAGACGTTACTGAAGTAACGTCTTCTGCATAGCTACGGGAATAATTGCAATGTAAGCACTGTATGCTGACTGCTGGTGACTCTGGACCAGCGCATTTCCACTACACTATAGTGTAGAAACCCAATCCAATCAGAAATGCGATTGCGTGCTTGCCCAACCATGAGGATATCATCTCTACCACAATGACTCCCCGTGCTATTTCCACAGTCAAGAAAAGTGTGAGCATAGCGCAAGCTGTTCGGACTGACTCCAAACCTATGCGTGTAGCAAACTGTTGTCTAGGTACTAAAAAAATGCGACATTAGAGGCCTCGGCGTGTGTCACAAAAATAGTACATAAGCAGTACGATGAGAACCATGCCCTGTCCCCACTATTTTCTGCACCACGTTATGATAGGTGACGAGTTGTGCGCAAAATCAACGCCAGGGTGTCCATAGCTTGTCAGCGTTAGCAGTACATGTATATGCTTTCAAGGCTAGCGAAAGAGCTTACTGTTACGTGCTATGATTTCTAGGCATGACATCATTATCAGACTTACAGCTGTTGCCTCTAGCCCACCGGTGCTGATGTAGTTCTTGCCAAACATTTTCTCATAGCACTGAATAGCATTGACAGAGTACTCCTTCTGGTCCAGGAACCGACGCATGGACTGGAAGTCGTATGAACCATCATTAGATTTCGTTTTCTTTTCCACCAAAACCTGGAGAGCAGTGCAGAGAGCAGCATGGCAAATGTTTACGCAGTGTACACCAGTATTCTTGCCTTATTTCTTGTAGAGAATCGGCACCAGTGCCCCACTCGCATACTTGCCAACCCAGCCAAAGCAAATCCCTTAGTCACACACCCAGTTTCCCTTAATTTTCTCTCATTTCCCTTATTTTCCTGGTTTTCGCCAATTTCTGTCATTTTCTCTTTTTTTGGGGTCATTTTAGATTTTTTTGCCTATTTTCCCGCAATATTTGGCAATTTTTTCTTTCTATTTATTCATTTCTAACCCATTGCCCATTGGGGGACCAAAACCTGAGCTTCTTTATTGTCAGATCAGAGTCGCCCCTACATGTGTGATTCTGTGAAATGCAGGGTACGCATGTGCCCTTGTCCCACCACAAAATAACCTTTTTATGAACACTCACGGTTCAGTGCCAATACCGGTAGTTTTTCGATCAAAGTGAAAAAAGCCCCGGTATGCCGGTAGTGACCGTAGTTTCCCGGTATAATACCGGGAAAAACGGTATGGTTGGCAAGTATGCACTCACTGCAATCAAGCAAGGGTTGCTAGCTTGGTATGCCATGGACACCGGCGTCAAGACACAGTAGTCTTATGAATGATGTGTTACCAGGAAGACGCCAGCTCTACATGACCTAGTCCAGCGACGTGACGCGGCCCATCGACGGTGGAAAGCATCACCTGCAGACCCGGCACTACGCAATGTCTTCACTTCTGCCCGAGACGAAGCCAAGCGTATGTCACGACATCTCCGTGCCATCTACTTTAGGGACCTTCTTGCTGCTAGTCAGGCCAACGCACGAAAAACCTGGCAGACCATCAACTACCTCAGCGGTCGTAACAAGTCCTCAGTTCCACCAGCCGTCAGTGTCTCACAGCTCAGTGACCAATTCAGCGGTGTTGTGTCAGACCCAACTAGACCACTACGTCTCTCAGCCCCATTGGGTCCCACGAAGAAGGAATGCCTCGAAGAATTTGCTCCAGCAAGTGTGCAAGAGATCGCTAAGCTGCTCTCCAACATCGACGTGCGCAAAGCTGCAGGCAGCGACCAGGTTCCAGCTGCAATCCTCAAACACTGTTCTCCTGTCCTTGCACCGTCCCTCACCATACTAATCAATGCATCTCTGGCTTCTGGTGTTGTTCCTGCATCTCTGAAGATTGCGGATGTTCGTCCCCTCTTCAAGTCAGGCGACAAAGCTGTCGCTAAGAATTATAGACCGATATCGTTATTACCAATAGTTTCCAAAGTCCTAGAACGGGTAGTCCACACGAGACTCTGTAAGTTCCTCTCCGGAAATTCCTTGTTCCCCGCAAACCAGTTCGCATATCGCCCACTTCACTCCACAGAAGATGCCCTGACATTGGCTGTAGACAGATACTTGGAGGCAGCGGATCAGCAGCGCCATACAGGTCTTGTACTTGTCGATATGAGCAAGGCCTTCGATAAGGTCAAACACCAAATTTTGGTTACAGATCTATTTCAGCTTGGTATTACCTCAACGGCTCTCAGTTGGTTCATGAGCTACCTAACTGACCGCCGTCAGCGAGTCGTCCTGAGCAATGGCCAGTCGTCCGCCCTCTCTCCCTGTGAGTGTGGTGTTCCTCAGGGAAGTGTGCTGGGTCCTCTTTTGTTCTCCATCTACACAATGGAAATAGAACAGATCACAGCTCCAGCCCACTCACAGCTGTTTGCTGATGATATCCTGCTAGACGCCATCAGTCAATCCGTCGAATTCTTGAATTTAACCCTCTCCCGTTCAGTCTCCAACCTGGCCAACTTTCTGGAAGAAAGAGGCTTAATACTAAATCCCTCCAAAACCCACGTTCTAGCCCTTCATGCGTCTCGCAGGCAGCCCTTGTTACTTAACATAGAATGCAATGGAAATCCCCTAGCTCAGACCACAAATGCTCGATATCTAGGTCTACATCTCGACACCCAGCTTCGGTGGGAGACTCAAGTTGCAACTATTACACGGAAGACCTCCCAGAAACTGACGGCGCTGCGAGCCATTCGCTCCTGCTTAACTGAGCAACAAGCCCTGCTATTTTACAGATCGTTAATACTACCGGACATGTTGTATGGATCTAATGCCTTCTTCTCGGTTCTCTCTGCGCACCAACGGCATCAGCTTTCGGTCCTCGACAAGCGATGTATCCGCTGCGTTGCCAACCAGCCATTCCCCTCCCACACAGATCCCATCTACACCCGTCTAGGCCTCATCCCCATCATCCAAAACGCCCACTGTAAACTCCGCCTCCTCATGCTTCGTATCCACACCGCCAGAATTAGTAATCTCCTGTCCAAGCGCCTACGTCGCCAGACTGAAGGCGTCACTCGGATCAACGATCCAAATGCGTATGTTGTCCCTGCCACCAGGCGAGTCTCTGGTGACTGTCGGCCGCTCGTTTCTGCTGTTAAATTATGGAACGCCCTGCCCCAAGAGTTCAAGTCCCTCGCCTGCCATAGATCATTCAAGAGACTTTTAAAGGTTTATTTTTATGGTTAGCCAGCATCTAGGCTTGGACTTGGAGTCGTGACTCAACTGTGACTCAACTGTGCTTTCTTCTTCTTTATTTTTCTTTTTTTCCCTTTCTCTTTTTTCTTTTTGAGTATTTGCAGTCTGTGTTTTCTGTGTTTTTCTCTCTTTCGTGGAGGCTTGCTTGTTGTATCCTTGGCTCTCGGCCATTACTTTATCGCCATCATAATATAGGGTACCATTGCCCGTTTGGTCTGCGATACAAAATAAAATTTCAACAACAACAACAACAACAACCAGCACCCAATGGCGAATGGTTTGAGAATAACTTGTTTGGTATTGTCTAGTACTGCAACCGTCACTACACGTCATGATGAATCCTTCAAACAGTCACCTAACAAAGCGTTGACTGCACTCCCTGGTAAATTCACTTGTTCCCTAAAGGCAAACTGTACCCAAAATTGTTCTTTGTCTCATCTTCTAGTCTTCGGCTCATGATCACGATGGTGTACTTCGTTTTTCTCTGCAATGATTGGAAGTGGATGAACACTTGACAACAAGGTGCCCAAAATTGTCCTGAAGTTCAGCGTGACATCACGCCGGACTCGACCACTCGTACATAATCATTCGTCGTCAAAAACGAAGTCCAGCCTTCTGCTGGTCGATCGAGCTAGCTGTTCCGATGTACAGTGCACATTCATGTGCCCTGTGAACTCGGACAGCAGAGCTGCGCTGATGTTTAAAAGAGAAACCGGCCACAACTTCCAAGTGTCGTTTTGCTGATGGCGTACTGTGGTGACATGTTGAGGTCGGCCGGAGAGCACAACGGTGTGGTGGTTGATAATAATCTGGACAAGGCCAAATGCTGCTGCTTACCCCTCGTGATTACTGAGTACAGGTGGAATGATTCGAATATGTCTTTTAAAATAGAACATGCCGCTTAATTAGAAGTCTCTTCCAGGACCGATTTACAATACGATTCCCACATATCAATTTCTGATAATTCTAATCTCAAACTGGATATGTCCGGTTAATTAGAAGTCCCAAGGAATCCACCTACATAGAAAATGTGTGAGATTTGTACTGATAATGCGAAGTTAGCAACGTATAATTCGAAGTTCACTTTATTTTCTTTAAATCAGTTTGGTTTACATGCGCAGGCAGTTCAGTGCCCACTAAACCTCTGTCTAAGGTGCGTAGTGCAACTCTGCATGTCAATGCGAGCATTTTGACATACATAATGTGTTGTGGGTACATGTTTGGATAATTAGAATATCCTGATAATTAGAAGTTTTCCCTGGCATTTTGGGGTTCGAATTATCAGGATTCCACCTGTAGACGGTACATTTGCAAAGTTTAGGGGGTTCCTAGTAACCCCCAGAACACCCCCTCCACCTGGATCCGCCCCCTAGTTGGTAATAAATGTATTCCAGGGCGGACGGTGCAGCAGTGCATGCACACCATTTTCTCACCTTGCTCCAGCTCCAGCACATCTGATGTAGGTTGTTATTCTCTTGCAAATATGGACCCACAGATCGCGAGAAGTCCAGCTCATACCTGAACGCAACAGGCGACGGACTGCTTTCGTAGCATGTCGTCTCAAACACGTGATAATATCGCTGTCAGCGCACACCAGAAGAAGAAAACATGAACACAAAATAAGCTGCGTCCACGTAAGCAAAATTGCACAGCAAGTACATACATACATACAGTGTGGTTGGCGATAGAAAGACCAAGACTTGCAATGAATTTATGTTTGCACCGTTTGGGCATGCCCATATAATCATGTATAACAGTGTTATTGTGCAATCAAGGTGTTCTGCAGAGATCCATTCTTGGGTTATTTTTATTTTGTAGGTTGTGTCCTCTCTGCAAACTTCCATACAAGTAAAGTGCAACAGAATTTTGCTGCAACTCAGAGTTGCACGTTTGAGCGACCATTGGGCATCAGAATAATTTTTGCTTGATGATCGCGCAAGCGTGAAACTCCGAGTTGCAATACAATTCTGTTCCACCTTACTTGTTCTTGGCTGATTATTCACTTTGAACATCTAATCTAATCAAGTTTTCCCCAATGTCACCTCACACTCTGGTTCTGCCTCCTCCTTTCTCCGTGCCCCCCCCCCCCCCCCCCAAGGGTGGAATAGTCTTCCACCTGCCGTTCGCTCCACTTCATCATTACCCAGATTCCGTCATATCTTAGATTGGTTAGGGTACCCCGTAAGAAGGCAAACCGCCTGTGGGGCTTGCCCTAGTAAAATATCAAGAAATAAATAATAATAATAATAATAATAATAATAATAATAATAATGTAGAAGAGAAAAGGACATATCGATACGAGTTAAGAGTAACTCTCCATCACTGTAACATGATACTATATACAGTCAGAAAGTGCAATAACTAGGCACAAAACTGACAGAGTACTGAAACATTCGACGTCCTGACACCTAGCTTCAACACATCTCCGTAGCGCTAACCGACAGCCTTCCAACTTGGAAGGTTCAAGGTTATGCACTTTCTGACTGTATATAGTATCATGTTACAGTGATGGAGAGTTACTCTTAACTCGTATCGATATGTCCTTTTCTCTTCTACATTTATTTATGGCTCAACATCCGAGTTTCAAATAATAATAATAATAATAATAATAATAATATCCAGGCTTGCAGCCCATGCCAAGTTGCTAATCGATAGTTTTTTTTAGTTTGCCGATGGCTTCCGGGACTACGTCAAGAAGCGGTGTTAACGGGCTTTTAAAAGCACTACTATCACGCATTCAGCAACTTGCTTGCTTGGCAGGAACAGTATAACTTGTAGCTTGATCACATTGTGTGACTCGCAGCAGTCTTCAGAACCGCTCCAAATCTGGCAAGACCTCTGCCTACCATGACACTGCCTAGCAACTTGGGTGTGGTCGTGGACGTTGCTTTATCCTGATAACCGCATGTTGACCAGATCATCTGCCAATTCAAGAGAGGAAAATTATCGGTGCAATCTTTTGTTCATATTGAGGTCTGACAACATTCTCCACGAAGTCATTCTACAATTGTGATAAATATTGTAAGACGTAAAACCTCGGAATTACGACCACTTTTTGGACCACGCAAAATGGTCTGATATCAAAGGTGGTCCCCACTTTTTGGACCACGCAAAATAGTCTGATATCAAAGGTGGTCCTATTCCGGTGTGCGTGCTAATGGAGGAAATTTGGGACCAAGCAAAGGTGGTCGGGTTTGTTGAGGTGGTTGGCTTAACGAGGTTGCCAGAAAGTGAGCTTCCATTGTATGGCGAAAAGTTGGGGTTGGAGCCTACCTAGAAAAATTCTGACGATTCCTGACCACCAAAAAATGGACCCACTGGGTCGTCAAAGCAAAGGCATGATATCACGCATGGATTGTTTGGTCTCCAGTTGTTGATTCCAACCACGGAGTTTCCACCACTAACATATTCTCATCCTAGAGGAGACCCTCCCATTCTAGAAGAGACGCTCCCATCCTAGAGGAGACCTTCCAATCCTAGAGGAAATCTTCCCATTCTTTAGTAGACCTTCCCATTCCATAGGAAACCTTCCCATTATAGAGGAGACCTTCCCATTCTAGATGAGACCCCCATCCTAGAGGAGACCTTTCTCATTCTAGAGGAAATCTTCCCATTCTTTACGAAACATTCCTATTCTAGCGGAGACCTTCACTTTCTAGAGAGGATCTTCCCATTCTAGAGGAGACCTTCCAGTCCTAGAGGTTACTTCCCATTCTTTAGGAAACCTTCCCATTCTAGAGGGAACCTTCCCATCCAAGAGGAGACCTTCCCATTCTAGAGGAGATGTTCCCATCCTAGAGCAGACTTTCCAATCCTAGATGAAATCCTTCCATTCTTTAGGAAACCTTCCCATTCTACGAGACCTTCCCATTCTACGAGACCTTCCCATTCTACAGGAGACCTTCCCATCCTAGAGGAGACCGTTCCATTCTAGAGGAGTCCTTCCCATTCTAGACCTTCCCACCCTGTAGTGGCTCTACAATTGTACCAAAGACATCGTGTAACTAGCTTCATTTACAAACAAATCACAAGTGTGTGGGAACACAGAGAACGACAGGGAGATAAAAGGAAAAGCCGGGGGGGGGGGGGGGTAGGCACAGCTAAAGTGCATACAGTACAACTGGCATGCTGGACAGCGCGGCCGGATAAATGCATACATGTCACATAAAAGGATACAATGATAAACAGTGGAATGTGCATCCACTTTACATCCTAGAGGAGACCTTTCATGCTAAGATCTTGATTTTTGTGCGTTGTTGCTTGCAGAAGCAGCAGCAGCTGAAACAACAACAACAACAACAACAACACAAACAACAACAACAACAACAACAACAACAACAACAATAAAAAAGATTTCAAACAAACAATGGCGGAAAGGTCAGCGATGCCTGCCTACCTTTGGATCTCTGTACTTGGTTGGATTGGAAAGATCTCGTGTCCCATCACCAGACTGAAAGAGACAGGACTCGCGGAAGAAGACATGACCTCCAATCTTCACCCACCTACCATCAATATAACAGCAGTTATTTACGTTTGAAGGATCGGAAGAACTTCAAATTCAAAGGATCAGTCGGGGAAGTGAACTGCCTGAAAAGAGATAATATTCCAGACCCACCAGGACCCCGACCCTGGACCTTGCTTGTCATGAGCAATGCCCCAACCAACTGAGCCACGGGACTCGGGACTCGTGCCCGGGCCCGGTTGGTTGGGGCATTGCTCATGAAAAGCAAGGTCCCGAGTTCGGGTCATGGTGGGTCTGGCATTTTTTTTCTCTTTTCAGGATTTCACTTCCCTGGCTGATCCTTTGAATTATTTACTTGCATGTAATTATTTATAAACAAAACGTCAAAAAGCCATCTCTACCAATATAATTCTGTAGGTGATGGAAAGCGTTCTTGGTTACATCCTCTGTACAAGGTCCTGTACCAGTTCACCTGGCTTTGTCTTAACTAGGTAGGTGATTTCCCGGTTGTGCATTGGAGCTACGGGCTTTGATATAACAACATATTCATTACATACCGCCACTGAACTGCAAAGTGTGGCTATGCCAGCCATCGCAGCCTGATCACATCATCTTGGGTCTATGCTGTGCTTTGCCGCTCACCTGTGATCAGTGTGACCTTCGTCTGCAAAGACAAAAAAGTAAATCTGGAGTCTCCATCAAACTTCGTTGCTACTACTTCACAACCGGCTTACTGTACACGACATCCTACTACATCATACTAATGACATTGGTGTACAGGTGTGTAGCTCGTGTATACCTGTAGTCAGTGCTGTCCGGTCACCACACCAGCAAATGACAAGTTGTTTTTCTTCTCTCTTTTTCTTTCCCTACTAGTTGATGTTACACTCACTGATCCTTATGCACAGATATACAGCATTCCCTCACTAGTGGAACCATTGTTATTAGGCTAGGGCCTGTTTTGGACTTCTCACTCTAAATAAAGAATACAAACAAACAAACAACTGTCATAGGCACTGCGTCGTCAAAATAGGCAAAATGGCGGCTATCACGTTGCCAGTGGTACATGGCCACAGCACCACAGATGTGCGAGCTACGCCCCTGTCCATGTGATTACATGATAATAATGCAGTACAGTGTACATCAGCAGCGTTCTTCTTCTCGCCTGGAGAGATGGTGCACAGTAACAGTAGGAAGTGGAGACTTTGTCGGAGCATATTAAATTTTGTTTTCAACCTGATCTTCACCGAGAAATTTGCTGAACGAGATGAGACTTCCCTCGCCCACTGGGTTTTCACACATGCTTTCACTCAGGCCCGGGGCCATCTGCTGAGGGCCAGGGGTGGTACGACTCCAGGTTGGCTACAAGGCTGATCATTTCTCCATTCTCAATTCCCGTATCATGGAAGGATGCATATCAAGCACTATGCTGCATAGTTCAAGTTGTTGCAACCGGGGCGTAGAATACCATGGTAATTGGTATTGTGCAACTCCCTGGTTGCAACTACACTCATACCTCGGTTAGTATCCGGACCCCAAAGTTACGGGCGCTTCGGTCTACCGGGCACCTTTTGGGCAAGTCTCAGCGGAAATATTACAGAGCATCAGCAAATCGAATTTTCAGTTCGATTACGGACGTGTCCAAACGACAGACAGTGCGAAAATTCGAATGAAAAAGAGGTTCAGCATGTTCGAATCCGTCACTCGAGTAAGTACTGCAGTCTGTAGTTCTTTTCGAGCTGGAGAAGACATTTTGAGATGCGCTGTGGTCGTTGCATTATACTTACAGTAGAACTTGGTTGGTCTTAAAGAATCAGGTCCCACAGTGTCTGTGTAGAACCGTCGGTGCATGGAAAAACGGTCGTTAAGAGCAGGTGGTCGCTTACACCAGGTTTTACTGTATAGCAAGAGTACATAAGCTTTGAATAGCAGGATAGCAAGTCGATTGGTTGGACTCGCTTCTCCTCCTTGCTGAAGGTCACCTGAATTGGACGGAGTTGCTGCTGTTTCTCGCGGCCGTTGAGGATGACGCGAAGCGACGGAAAGAGTAGTTTCGACTCTTTGAGCGCCTGTCATGACGATTCTCGAATTTCACTCGAAAACTAGATTTGCTGATGCTCCGTACTACTACTCTTTTGGTACTTTTGTGGAAATAGTGACGCCATTTCCCATATTTATGGCCTTTCTCCATTGAAATGTATGTGATTCGGAGTTACGGACATTTCAAAGCTACGGGCAGTGCCCGGTCCCGGTTGGCCCAGATAAATGAGGTATGAGTGTTTAGATTTTCAAGCAAAGGCATCCAGCTAGCACAGTAGTCTACCCTAGACAAGAAGAACAGGTACAACTTGAAGGAGAGACTTTAGTGAGGATGGCACAACAATAGCTTGTCCACCGTGTTCAACAGCAAAGAATGTGTGATGATGCATGCCTGGCGGAGCTGATCCCGTTGGTCAGGCCCCGGTCGGACCAGCCTTTCAGCCACCAACACATGAGGTGGTCATGTGCATATCATGCACAATTCCTGAAGGGCTATGGGCTATGGCCGGACCAATCCAAAACTGCTTCCGCCGGTACTGCAATGCTATGTGGAAAACAACTTACCTGAGCATTCTCTTGGTTAGCTCTTCCAGCTCAGCATCACTGATGTACATCAGTAACAAATTAGAGAAGACAATGTCAAACGAGTTCTCCTCATAGTCCAGCTTCATAGCATCGCCGCTCACAAATGTGATGTTGGGATGTTGCACGCCATTGATCTGACGGTTCTTCTCCACAAACTGTTCCACAAAGTCCACTGCAGTGACATGTTGGGCTGTTGCAGCAAGAGTCCCCGTGTAATGACTGTGCAACCAGGAGTAACATGTTGATGCAAAAAGAATAATTCAAAACGTCTGTTATGAACTTCGGCAGTGAGACATTGGTGATGATTGCAGTATGGCGTTCGCCAATTGATCTCATTCTTTTATCTCTGTCCCAATATCCGCAGACTCCACTGTAGCCATCCAAGATTACCATACACCTTTACAACACTCTCCAAGCGGTCTCTGGGCTATGGGATAGTATACCACTGAATCACTGAAAAAGAAATAAAATAAAATCATCTAAATTTTCCGGCAAGGCCCATCTCCATCTTCCACTTCTTAGTAAATCAGATAATTTGTGCACTTTGAGAAAGACCATCATCAGTATTCATCACCCTGAGTGAGGGCCAGAAACATTTTGAGGGAACTTCTTGCAAGATAGTCTAGGGACCCACGGCTTCAAAGTGCTGCCCTCAGTCATTATAGTTTTGAATCCGTACTATGCTAATACAGCCACTTACACGTTTATATTTTCTCCGTCTTCCGAAAGGTCTCTTCAATGCTTACCTGCATGTGCTGGATTTCACCAAAATTCTTGCCAAACTTCAGGCCCGACCTATCAAGCGGAACTAACTAATTACTTCGGATGACAATAAGGTCGGTCATGTACATTACTAGATATACTACCCTTACTAGGCCTTAGCCAGTAGACTACACTACTTCAAGTACTAGTAGAACTAAATATTATAATTATGGGTGGTGATGACAACCAAACCAATAATACATAACAGCCTGAAGAGTGAAGTGAAGTGAGGTGAGGTGAGGTGAGGCGAGGTGAGGTGAGGTGAGGTGAGGTGAGGTGAGGTGCAGAAAGACTTACATGTAGATGTACAATCATGTAACTTGTTATACGTTACAATGTCATGACAAAAGACTACATTGTAGTCTACATTGTAGTCTTTTGTAGATTTACATGTAGAGCCTGGCCTGAGCAGGCTGAGGTCAACGTGTACAGACAGTTGTAAGTGTAAGCGATGCACCATGTGTCAGACTCCGGGTCTGGGATGTGTCTGTGTGTTTGTGTGTGTGTGTGGGGGGGGGGGGGGGGGGGGACAATCAACAGAATGTAACGAGACCGTAGTAGGCAGGTGTCAACTTGAGTGCTACATGTACTATGTCGCTATGTGCATTGAAGAAGTGCTACGTCATTTACCGGCAATGACATTATGTTAAAAGGCAACTCTTACAGTAGTCTGGTTCGGGCGGCAACATCTCCAAACCGACACAAAGCTTTACAAAGGATGTGTAGTTCCAATCATCACTATGCAGCATGACTAGGGTCCAGCGGATACTGCCAGCAATATACTAGTATTCGGCATTATAAGACAACCCGAACATCGGAGCATTATGGAGAATTAGAAAGGAACAAAACGAGCATTATGTGAGGTTTGAACGGCATAACGAGTTTCATAGTATGGATAATCTCGGGAAATCCCAGGTTTTTGGCAACAATCGGCTACAATCATGATCATGAGGTGCAACCAGACCTTATGCATTGTACCGGCACGTGACTTTGTGATTGTGTAGACACGTAACACCTTTACTGGCTTTAGCACTAATGTAATGCTACATAATTATACAATGTACATTTACCTGGCCACATAATCAGTCATGCAAAAAAGGTTATGTAGCGATGTGGTCAGGCGAATCATGTATAAGCCATTTACCGGTATGAAGCATTCCCAACCGAGGCAGTTACACAAATCCGGAGAAATGATTTACCGGTACGAGGTTCCTTTTAGAATAATGGAGAGCTGTGGTCGTATGGAAGAAACATACCCGAAGTGAATAGCAAGCAGACGAAGAAGAGTTTTCTCGTTGTGCCATAGGCTCTGGCGATAGCATCTCAAGCGATACAGAAGTAGACATTGATGCATTGATAAATTTGGACCAGGATGAAGGAGCGGCTATAGAGAGAAAGAGCTCGCTCCAAAAGAACTGCCTTTGCCGAGTCCAGCTGAGGACCTAGGAGGCTCGAAATGAACTAGAATTTCTCATGGACTCCGTACCAAGTCGATTGGAGCGCTCAGCAGCGCATGTCTTACTTTCCTGATGAAGCACGTACAGTTAGTTATGGACGGTTGTAATGCCAGGTCTACAGTCAAATGCTATCAGAAAGGAAGAGTATTGTGTCAAAGCATACCTCTACACACCATATCAAGGAGAAGATGAGAGCACAAGCAAAGAATGTTGAGTGGCAAAATAACTGACCACGTGGTTTCAGGATTTCCGCAATTTATTTTTATTTTTTATCACATTGCACATACCTACGGAAGAAGGAGAGACAAAGCGAAGACGAAACAAAAAAGACAACAATGGGTGTGTGGGCGCTACATGAGCTGCGCTGGTGAGATGCAGTGGACTCCCCCGACCAAGGGTCTCGGGATCGGCGTACACAGCAAGCACCATGGGAGAGGGGGGGGGCGAGAGGAGAGAGAGAGAGAGAGAGAGAGAGAGAGAGAGAGAGAGAGAGAGAGAGAGAGAGAGAGAGAGAGAGAGAGAGAGAGAGAGAGAGAGAGAGAGAGAGAGAGAGAGAGAGAGAGAGAGAGAGAGAGAGAGAGAGAGAGAGAGAGAGAGAGAGAGAGAGAGAGAGAGAGAGAGAGAGAGAGAGAGAGAGAGAGAGAGAGAGAGAGAGAGAGAGAGAGAGAGAGAGAGAGAGAGAGAGAGAGAGAGAGAGAGAGAGAGAGAGAGAGAGAGAGAGAGAGAGAGAGAGAGAGAGAGAGAGAGAGAGAGAGAGAGAGAGAGAGAGAGAGAGAGAGAGAGAGAGAGAGAGAGAGAGAGAGAGAGAGAGAGAGAGAGAGAGGGAGAGAGAGGGAGAGAGTAAGAGAGAGAGAGTGAGTGAGAGAGAGAGAGAGAGAGAGAGAGAGTGAGAGAGATAGATAGAGAGAGAGAGAGAGAGACAGACAGACAGAGAGAGCAATGGGAGGGCTCTCCATCTGAGATTGGCTCTCAGGAGCTGGCCTCCCGTCTGGTGTTTCAGATGAAGACACTATTGGCAGAGTGGAAGCAGTGACAGCTTGTCTACAGGCAGGAATACTATTTGCCAAGATAAACTTCACCCCAACAATGAATGACTACCTGCAAAAATGGTTTCATCTCTCAGGGAAGATTTGATACACTGACTATTCTGCCACAACCCTGCATCAAAGTTGGAATGGAGAGCAGCCAATGGAGAAGAGACCATGTTTTATAGTGATAAGAAGTGGTGGAGCTCGTGGGAGATAATGTGCCAGCTTCAGAGGCAGATCGACGATATGCATAATTTCCTTGACAATGTGCAGACTTTCTTCCATTTTTGTCTCAAATCAAGAGCATTATATCCCTTACTGAAGCATTATAAACAGCATTATAAGGCAGTTTTGGAGCAATATGGTTAGCATTATATGAACATTTTCGGAGCATTATCCGCTGGACCCTAAGCATGGCTATTTAATCACCGCCTTGCGTCACTTGTTGAAGTTGCGTGCAGCCTTTACCCTTGTCACATCGAGTGTATGTTTCTTTTTGGAAACTACTCTTTATCATTTTAGCTCAACAATATCTAACTATTACCCCCTTACTTGAATCTATCCAGCGCGAGCTAGGGACCGGCGGATTCTGCTCGAAAAGGTGGCAGATTCTGCTCGAAAAGCAGTGAAATTGGCAGAACCATACAAACCTTATGGCGGGCAATTCCTCGAATTCTGCTCCATTTTTTTTATCCACATACCAAACATGCATGGAACTTACCAGAAAAAGTACCGAACTCTGCCAATTTTTCTGCCGGCAGAATCCGCCGGACCCTAGCGCGAGCGAACCTGCGGCTGAGCTAATTCTGCCTGCCCTTCAAGTGGTAGAGGCTGTGAGGTTTCTAGGAGCTTGGTGAAGACTTCCGTCTTCCAAAGACCCAATTGCTCCACAGGCACAACAACTTCAAGAAGTAACAGTTGAACCTCCACCGAAAGGCAAATGCACATAAATACTATTAGTACAGTATTAGCGGTCCCTACTTTACTCCCGCTTTCCTCTACTTTACCCTTTCTACCTCCTCTTTAGGTTTTCTATCTTATCTTACCGTATTATTTATTGTCTAATATTCCCCTTGCTCAAATGTATGGCTGATCTATTTCCCACTTACTGATTTCATATACTGACCCATTGCATTTTATCGTGTTCAACATACCGGTATTCAACATTAGGGCTATTCCAGCTCCGGCTCAGCTGACAAACTCTTGTCCAATTACCACCTACTCCACTCTTTTGTCCTGTCCGTGGACTTTACCGAGTGGGAAGAGTCAATCGGCAGCTCTATTGGACAAAGAATTGTGTATTCACTAGGGCAGATAAGAAGAGCTTATAGGTCTACCCTCTTTAGTACGACATCTGTAACTTACGAGACAAACTTAGACGTGTCGTAGTAAAGTAACGATCCAGAATCTCCTGACGCTTGAAACGCATTTACAGTCATACACGCAAGTTCGGATCGTAGATAAAATTTTGTGACTCGTTTATTTGAATGCTGCTGTCTGATGACGATTATGTTAACAAACATTTTGAACCCCCCTGGGTTGTCTACTATACTATAAACGGCCTTACCCTATGCCTGCGCCGAGCTCCAGAACTCGCATTCCTTTCAGAGCGGGCAACATGGCCAGTATCTCCGGCTTCTCGGATTCGTTCATCGTCCGCAGCGCTTTCGAGTCGAGCATGACATCTTGCAGCGATACCGTCGCGCAATGGCCCTCCCAGAAGTCCTTCATAGCAGTGCGAGTGTTGCTGTCATCGTTATCATGCGTGGTGTCATGATCAGCTGGGCCATTGCTCTCTGTTTCAGCCATAGTTGCACAAGTAATAACCGGCAGATTTCCGCAGCAGACTATGATACAATCTAATCAAAAAGAAGAAGCGAAACTGCTCGAAACTATTGCTCACTATTGTAGTGAAATGAAACGAGAAGAAAGACTTGTTGACAAGAATTATCCTACCTTGCCTGCCAACCTTCTTAGTGAAAACGAACGACTCTTACAGTTGTGAACACGACCTCGCTGGCACAGGCTGATACGAGTACAAGCCATGGTATTACATTGTAGATAGGGGCTCTACCAACCGTGGATGGTTGTAGTAAAGTCACTGTTTCCGAACACGGTGTCCTCCACCTTGTTTCATGCTGTCAAACCAACAACACGAGTACAAGCCATGTACATGTCATGTGGCCTTGAATCTATAGAATTGGAAGTGTATGGTTTCGGGCTGAAGTGGTCCATTCTGAAGACATTAATTTAATTTATGAAGACATGATTGTACTCGTCGACAGGGGTCGATTGGAGGGTCTACTTGTAGAAGACCTTTTCTTTCTTTTGTTCTCGTATCCGTCTGTTTGGGACACTTGGTCATCAAGTCATGGATACCACCGCAGAACGTGGATATACCGTACATGTAATAACTACATGATTGTAACGTCTTGTTATCACACTCAGAAGCAGGACATGCTGCAGGTTTTTCATTCTGAAAGTACATGTACACTGTAATTAGTTATCCGCGATTCACAAGTACACTAACTTTCAGGTACAGTATACCGTAGAATCCCGCGGATAAGCCCATGGGCTTATCGGTTTCACAAGGACATTTCGGTGGGCTTATACAAGAACATGGGCTTACACGCGGGCATGGGCTTATACGCTGACACCAACATTATGCTATTGAAAAGTACCAATGAAGTGAGAAGTACATTGCTGAAAGCCACTGTGCCAACAAAAACAACCCATGATTGTGTTGAAATGTCCAATGAAACAAAAAAAACTACATGTACTATGTACATCATGCATGATTATGTGCATGGTAAGACCAAGAGTCCATAATTTATGGACTCTTGGCCCAATTAGGCCCATGGGCTTGTACATGTACGACGAAGCCTTGTGATGTTCGAACTTTCCCTGGGCTTACTACGCGGGTGGGCTTATCCGCGCGCGGGATTCTACGGTAGTACAGTATTCTCTTCAAATAATTCAGGTGGCATGATTCAGGCATGTGCACGCGCCGATAACGTGCGACGTGACCCACATACATGTATACATACACGGCATAGCTAAAGAGGGTGCAAGTCCGAAGAAACCTTATGCCTGGTCCACACTAGCCCGATTTTTCGGCTGATATTGAATCGTGCGAACAAATCCTCAAGAAGATCGGCACGAGAATCGCCTGGTAGTACGAGTACGAGTATGGACGGTGTTGTCGCACAGTCATGTTTCCGACAAATTATTTGTGTGTGTACAGTGTACATTGTAGAATGCTTATGTTCATCACATTTATCCTGCCGGCTCTATTATACAACTGTGGTCTGTGGACTTTGACAGCAGCACTCGTACTCGGCAACAGGCTTGACACATGGCATCGCCGCAAACTACGATCCATTCTTGGCGTAGTGTATCCCCAAACAATATCGAACAAAAACTTATACAAGCTGTCCAACCAATTATCTATCACCACAACATGCAGGGAACGGCGCTTGTTATGGTTCGGCCATGTAATCAAAGAAGGCAGTGACTCAACATCCTACGTTGAAGTACAAAGCTCTACTGACAATCGACACCAAAGACATCAAGAAGTTATGATAAAGAAGGTTTATAGAAAAGAAAAAGGACCAATGAACTACAAGTCATCAGTTACTAAACAATCAGCTCATGCGATAACATTGCACGACACTGACCGACGGTGCTGACGTTCTACAACTGACTGGCTAACAGCTCCAGCACATCTTGGATGCGCACTCCAACAGCCTTCCAACTTGGAAGGTTCAAGTTAAAGAAATAACACAAGGAGGGGAAGGTGAGCGCAACCAATATATGCACGATAAGATAAGACGATAAGATGCTTATCGTCCATCTAAATTGTCATAGTCGAAGTACAGTGCTGTTTTACCGAGGCGTTCGGTTTTGCATGATCATTGTTCGCATAGCTTCCCCTTTTATTGATCTTCGCATGTTTGAGCCACACAAGGTGTGTGGAATGTTGCTTTGCGTCCTTGAATCGTGGTTTGACCGTCCAACGGTCTTGCCAGTATAGTCATCGACATGCATGAACATCGGCCAACGTCCTTCAGAGCTGAGACTTTCAGCTCGTGCGTATCTTGGTTGCGCTCACCTTCCCCTCCTTATGTTAATTCTATAACTTAGAACATTCCAAGTTGGAAGGCTGTTATACTGCGCATCCAAGATATGCTAGAGCTGTTAGCCAGTTGATTGAAGAACGTCAGTACCATCGGTCAGTGTCGTGCAATGTTATCGCATGAGCTGATTGTTTAGTAACTGGTGGTGTTAGTGGACATTATAGCGTAACTTGTAGTTCCTTGGTCCTTTTCTTTTCTATAAATTAATCCTTGGCTCTCCATCCGAGTCCATAAAGAAGGTTCATTAGTTTTAGGAGAAATCCATGTTCGTTTCACCTCTAACAATGATATAATCTCTTATACAGCTAATCTGCCAGAAAGAGACTCAACACAAGTAGGTACAGAAATAGCTAGAGAGCTAAATCAGAAAACAAGAGCCGTTGAAAAGTAGCCGTCATCAAACCGAACATCGAGCAATTCAGCTACACAAAAAACGTTGAAGGCAGCGATATACATGTACCTCTTCTCATTCAACATCGGGGAAACACTGTCCAACCGGCGAATGGGGGTCGATAGTATTGTTGTTGTCTTTTACTATTGGCAAATGATTAATATTTACGATCATAATCATTTTCTGCAAATAGAGGCTTCAACTAATAGTTCGAACCATGGACATTCGCAAAACCAATGTAACTTCTAGAGGGATTATTGTTATTTCATGTGAGTTATTGACCTGATGATGTCAACTGTGCCAAGGAGCGCTTCCTTCTCCAAGATGGATACGCTGGCTCCGGCATCCAGTTCCTTTAAAAGTCAGCAGTCGAGGGGGTTAATCCACCTTACGCCCCCACAATTACGATCTTGGCCCGAACCTGCCACATCTTTTTTTTTTTATTGAAACACCACAAACCTTCAGACATGTGAATGTGCACATTATATACAGTGTACATACGTATGTATCGAGAAGGCAGCACGGAAACGGCAGTGGTGGTGAGGCCTGGGCAGCTCGTCCGACCGTGGGTCTCGGAGTCAACACTGGGCAGACGCACCGGAGGGGGGGGGGGGGGGGGTAGCTTAGGAGATAAGGGATGAAGCCAGCATGATCAAAGTATGTAATGCATATGCAGAAGTAATAATGATGTTAATCTTAAAAACAATAGTGCGGTGGACCTGCGCAGAGGAAAGGCATCATGGACATGATCTACGTGTATAACATAATAATAATAATAATATTATAAGTGAGCTAGGGCACATCATACACACACATATGCACATGTTCAAATAGGAGATCAACCTGATAGGGCGTTCGCCGGCGTTGGGTAATCTTGAAATAAAGATATTAATATTATTGAAGAGATTATTATCATACGCTCACATAAACACCACATACCAACCATGTGCACCCACCCACACACACACACACACACACACACGCGCGCGCACGCACACACACACACACATGCTCGCACGCACACACGCACGCACACACACACACCACACACACGCACACACATTCACACACCACACACACACCACACATACACACACACACACACGTACACACAGACACACACGTGCACATTCACGCAGACGCGTAATCATACATACTATTTGTGCACAGACTCACTCTCTCACAGTAACGTCCAGAAAACCACCACGCCGAGTCCCTACAGCCGGTCGGTCGCCCAGTCCCAGTGGCTCGAGCGCAGGAATCGGTGGACGCTGCACTTGAAGGACTGCAACCTCTTCTGGTCGGGCTGATCCAGGAGGTGTTGGCAAGGCAACTGGTTCCAGGCATCCAGCACTCCTTCAGGGAACGACCGGCGGACGTTGTTGCGAGAATTGGCTGGGATATCAGACTGCAGCTGGTAGCGGTGGCCGGCCGCCATCCGCGCCTGCTGCCTGGTGTTGGCAGGATGTTGGTCGTGGTCTGGTACTGCTTGGGAGGGGGGCAGCATTCGGGTTAGCATCTGTGGGCCTGTCAGGTAGTGGATTTTGTAGAGATAGCAGAGAGCAGCCACTTTGCGCCGGAGTTCGAGGCTTGGCAGATATGCGCCTTCGCCGATCAGATGCAGGGCTCTCCGTTGTACAGCATCGAGTTGGGCCAGCACCGTCTGAGAAGCACCCATCCAGACTAGCATGCCATGCTCTAAGACTGGGCGAACAAAGCCGTTGTAGACGGTGAGACGACAGCCAGGGTCAAGCACTGCTGAGGCCTTCTTCAGGAAGCCCAGTCGCTGTGTGGCGCGCAGGGCTGACTGTCGAATCTGCTGGCAGAATGTCAGTTGACTGTCGAACGCTATCCCAAGTAGCTTCAGGCACTGGGTTTCAGGAACGATTTCACCTTGGAATGTGACCGGAGGGCAGTCCCAGGGCCGACGGTGGTGGCTGACGTGGAGTAGGTATGACTTGGCGGGCTCGAATGTCACTCGCCAGGTCGCACCCCAGGCATCTGTTCCACCTCACGCTTCAGGCCTTGACATATTTGAATCTTTTCCACAGATTTTCAGCGGATGTTCCTATCCAGAGGGGCACATACATGTACGTCCACAAGCAATGTCTTATCTTTGCCCTTGATAATAATGTCGGGTCTGTTTGCTCCAACGGGCGCTGCTGTTGGAATTGGCACTTCCCAGTAAATTGACACATCCGTTTCAGCACCGTACACGACGTTAGTGAGTTGGTGACTTGTGTATTTATTTGAAATGTTCAATGCACCATACTTCCTGCACAGCGTCCAGTGAAGTTACTTTGCTAATCTGTTGTGGTGATTGACATAATGACTTCCAGCACAAGCCGTGCATGCTCCAAAAAGGTGGAAACCGTTTCCTTGTCCTTTCCACACATCCTTCAGCTCGTTTTTGTTGACACACCCGTTCCTCGATTAATTAAAATAATAGTTCTTGTAAGTTCCGTGTTGCGATAGCCTGGTCCTGTATGGTCATGACAATACTTTTCGTCTCCGGACGTTTATAAGGCAGAAGACCGCAATCATGCA